CACCAGTTTGCATTCCCAACAGCAGTGTATGAGGGTTCCCTTTTCTCCACATCCTCTCTAACATTTGTTATTTTCGTGTCTTGTTAATTATAGCCATTCTGACAGGTATAAGGTGATATCTCATTGTAGTTTTGATTTGCATTTCCCTGATGATTAGTGATGTCAAGCATCTTTTCTTGTGCCTATTGCCTATCTGTATACCTTCTTTGGAAAAATGTCTGTTCATATCCTGTCTTTTTTTTTTTTGAGGAAGGTTAGCCCTGAGCTAACTGCTGCCAATCCTCCTCTTTTCACTGAGGAAGACTGGCCCTGAGCTAACATCCATGCCCATCTTCCTCTACTTTGTATGTGGGACACCTACCACAGCATGGCGTGCCAAGTGATGCCATGTCTGCACTTGGGACCCAAACCGGCGCACCCCGGGCCGCTGAAGCGGAACATGCGTACTTAACTGCTGCGCCACCAGGCCGGCCCCCACTGCCCATTTTTTGATCAGGTTGTTTGTTTTTTTGTTGTTGAGTTGCATAAATTCTTTACAGATTTTGGAAATTAACCCCTTGTCAGATATGTGATTTGCAAATATTTTTTCCCAGTTGGTGAGTTGTCTTTCATTTTGTTCACAGTTTCCTTTGCCTTGCAGAAGCTTTTTAGTCTGATGTAGTCCCATTTGTTTATTGTTTCTTTTGTATCCCTTGCCTGAGTAGACATGGTATTTGAAAAGATGCTAAGAGCGATGTCACAGTGTACTGCCTTTATTTTCTTCTGGGAGTTTTATGGTTTCAGGTCTTACATTAAAGTCTTTAATCCATTTTGAGCTAATTTTTGTATATGATGTAAGATAATGGTATACTTTCATTCTTTTGCATGTGGCTGTCCAGTTTTCCCAACACCATTTATTGAAGAGACTTTTCTTTCTCCATTGATGTTCTTGGCTCCTTTGTCGAAGATTAGCTGTCTGTAGATGTGTGGTTTTATTTCTGGGCTTTCAATGCTGTTCTATTGATCTGTGTGTCTGTTTTTGTGCCCATACCATGCTGTTTTGATTACTTATAGCTTTGTAGTATATTTTGAAGTCAGGGATTCTGATGCCCCCAGCTTTGTTCTTTTTTCTCAGGATTGCTTTTGCTATTTGGGTTGTTTTGTTGTTCCATATAAATTTTAGGATTCTTTGTTCTATTTCTGTGAAGAATGTCATTGGGATTCTGATCAGGATTGCATTGAATCTGTAGATTACTTAGGTAATATGGACGTTTTAACTACATTTATTCTTCCAATCCATTAGTGTAGACTACCGTTCCATTTCTTCATGTCTTCTTTGACTTCTTTCAATACTGTCTTACGTTTTCAGTTTATAGATATTTCACCTCCTTGGTTAAATTTATTCCTAGATATTTTATTCTTTTTTGAGATTGTAAGTCGGATGGTATTCTTGACTTCTCTTTCTGCTAGTTTGTTATTAGTGTACAGAAATGCAACTGATTTTTGTAAGTTGATTTTGTACCCTGCAACTTTGCTATAGTTGTTCATTATTTCTAATAGTTTTCTGATGGATTTTTTTAGGGTTTTCTATATATATAATTATGTCGTCTGCAAACAGAGTTTTACTTCTTCCTTTCCAATTTGGATACCTTTTATTTCTTTTTCTTGCCTAATTGCTCTGGCCAAAAACTCCAGTACTGTGTTGACTAGGAGTGGCGAGAGTGGGCACCCTTGTCTTGTTCTTGTTCTCAGAGGGGATGGCTTCCAGTTTTTCATCATATAAGTATGATTTAGGCTGTGGGTTTGTCATACATGGACTTCATTATGTTGAGGTACTTTCCTTCTATACCCATCTTATTGAGAGTTTCTATCATAAATGGATATTGGATCTTATCAAATGCTTTCTCTGCATCTGTTGAGATGATCATGTTGTTTTTATTCCTCATTTTGTTAATGTAGTGTATCACATTGTTGGATTTGCAGATGTTGAACCATCCCCGTGTCTCTGGTATAAATCCCACTTGATCATGGTGTATTGCTGTATTTGGTTTGCCAATATTTTGTTGAGGATTTTTGCATCTATGTTCAGCAGCTCTGTTGGCCTGTAATTTTCCTTCTTTATGTTGTCCTTGTCTGGTTTTGGTATCAGGGTAGTGTTGGCCTCATAGAATGAGTTAGGAAGTGTTCCATCTTCAGTTTTTTGGAATAGTTTGACAAGGATCGGTATTAAATCTTCTTTGAGTGTTTGGTAGAATTCTCCAGGGAAGCCATCTGGTCCTGGACTCTTATTTTTGGGGAAGTTTCTGATTACTATTTCATTCTCTTTACTTGGGATGGGTCTATTCAGATTCTCTCTCTCTTCTTGATTCCCTATTGGGAGGTTATATGAGTCTAAGAATTTATGCATTTCTTCTAGGTTATCCAATTTGTTGGCATATAGTTTTTAATAGTAATCTCTTATAATCCTTTATATTTCTCTGGTATCTGTTGTAATTTCATTTTTAATTTTATTTATTTGAGCCTTTTCTCTTTTTTTCTTAGTGAATCTGGCTAAAGGTTTGTCAGTTTTATCTTGTCAAAGAACCAGCTCTTAGTTTCATTGATCCTTTCTATTGTCTTTTTACTCTCTATCTGATTTATTTCTGCTCTAATTTTTATTATTTCCCTTCTGCTGACTTGGGGCTTTGTTTGTTCTTTTTCTTCCAGTTCTGTTAGGTGTAGTTTAAGATTACTTATTGAGATTTTTCTTATTTGTTGAGGTGGGCATGTATTGTTATAAATTTCCCTTTTAGCTCCACTTTTGCTGCATCCCATAAGAGTTCATATGTTCTGTTTTTATTTTCAGTTGTCATCAGGTATTTTTTGATTTCTCCTTTGATGTCTTCATTGAGCCAATTGTTCAGTAGCATGTTTTTTAGTCTCCACATATTTGTGACTTGCCCAATTTTTTCTTGTAGTTGATTTCTATTTTCATAGCATTGTGGTTTGAAAAGATGTTTAATATGATTTCAATCTTCTTAAATTTATTGAGGCTTTCCTTGTTTCCTAACAAGGCAAGAGTGATTATTAATATATGAGGGCTTAATACTGCTATTTTATCACTTGTTTTCCCGATGTTCTATATTTCCAGTGTTTCTTTTCTAGGGTAGATTTTTTTTAAAATTATTATTTTTCTAGAATTATCATGTGGAAGAGATTCCCCAGTATTTCATTTAGTCCAGAAAAATGTCCAAGCAGTTGATGTTGGATCAACATTGCAAGCCTTAAAATCAATATCTCAAATTACTGTATTTGTTTCATTTCTTCTCTCTTTTGTCTGTATTTGCTCTTAGAAAAGGGGTAATGAACAGTAAAATGATATTAACATTTGTTAAGTAACAGAAACATAGTAATTCCAAATTATCAACATTCACATGTCATTGAGTCCTTAGCCTTTATGATTTTCAATTTCTTCCTTTTAGGCAAAGACTCATGTTCTTGACATCGAGCAGAGACTGCAAGGTGTAATCAAGACCCGAAATAGAGTGACAGGGCTACCATTATCTATTGAAGGACACGTGCATTACCTTATACAAGAAGCTACTGATGAAAACTTACTATGCCAAATGTACCTTGGTTGGACCCCATATATGTGAAATGAAATTAGTTCAAAGAATATGTTAATTATCTAAAATTAATGCATTTGGTATCAATGTGTGGTTTATGTATCTATTCATTTCCAAAGTACATCAGTTTCTTCATGTTCTCGGAGCAACTCGTATTATTTCTCCCTAATTGTTAATAATATTTAAGATAATATATGTTGTCATTAAGAAATATACCGCTTTCTTAATATATACTGTGTATTATAACTGGAGAAATGAAACATCATATGTTCTTATGTTGTAAAAAGATGTATTTGCAAGAAACAAGTCAACCTAATTTCATTTTACGACTTTCATTGATTTTAAGTACTAGCCAGCATACGGACTCCATTGAACAACGACATTATATTGAATAAATACTGTGGACAAAGCACTGTGCTAGATTTGTGCACAGAGCTACTTCCCCTGCCTTTTAGGAACTGACAGTCTGGTAAAAGAGATAAAAACATAAATAGCATATCATTAAGTTCACTTAATAAAACTTTCTTTTTTTGTCTTGTGGAAGTGTGATAGGTAAAAACGCATAAGCCAAGCATGAATATGAAAATTATATAAACATTCTGTAATTTTAAAAATGCTGCCAACTGAAAGTGTACCAGATTGCAGAATCCAGTGGTCTTGGAAGACAGCAATACTTAAGATTTCCTGAGATTTCAAAATCTAAAAATTTTTTAATGTGGTTAAATTTTTTCGGAGGTTTTCTTGCAGAAGGTTTCCATTAATTCATGCTAATTACAAAGCAATGAGGTTACTACATTCAGATAAATGGAAAACTTTTTATAACAAAGGTAATCTCACTTGTTCATTTGATAGAATTCTACTTTTTTGTACAGTCGAAAGTGTGATGGGGAAAACACGATAACGCGGAGGCAGGAATGTGAAAAGTAAACCTTATATAATTTCCTATTGAAGGCTTAAGGTTAAGAATTAAGGACGAAGCTGGGTTGGGGGTGGAGGGGAATTAGAAAATTTTTTTTCAACAAATAATTTGGAAAAGGACGTTTTTAAACAAAACGTTGCTGGAGATTTATATTCCTCAAAGAAAAAAACCTGCCCGCTCACCAAACATAAACAAACTAAACCAAATAAATCACCAGACCTTTCCAAATCTGTGTTGAAAAATACTGAGATTAGCAAGCCCGGGACACAGAAGCAACCAGGACAAAATTCATTGTTCTGTACTCTTCCAGCGGCCTCGCGAGGCTTACAGCGCACAGCTCTAGCAACTGACATTTTCAGAGGCCAGTCTAACACAGGCAGCCAAACGCCGCGGCGCCGGGAAAAGCAGCCCCGGGCGCTCGGCTGCGGCGAGCCGAGCCGGAGTTCAGCCCCGCCCCGGGCGCGCGGCTTCGGCGGCAGCCGCTCTAGCCAGCGGCCTCTCTATGGTCGGCCGGGCGGGCCGAGTGGTGTCATCCGCGGAGCGACGGCCGCAGGCTGCGGCGTAGGCCCCGGCGGGGCGTTTGGTTTCGGTTTGGCCCCGACTCGAGTCAGTGTGGACGGTCGAAATGGGAGTCCCTAAGTTTTACCGATGGATCTCGGAGCGGTATCCCTGCCTCAGCGAAGTAGTGAAAGAGCATCAGGTGGGTGAGCGAGCGGGGGTGGCCGGGAAGCCGAGGACCCGGGCCCCGCGGCCCGCCCTCCACCGGCGCTGGGCTCTCCGGCCTCGGCTCTCTGCCGGCGCCGACCGCTGAGCGGCGGAGGGAGGGGGCCCGGAGGGCTGAGGTCACCCTCTGTCCGAATGGGGGCGCGGCCACAGGCCGCGCGTCCGGGCAGAGCCGGGGTATCGCGGCGTTCTGACAGCTCGGCTGCCTGCAGGCCGCCCGCGGCTCGGAAGGGAAGTCGGGGAGGAGGGTTGCAGTGAGCGCTTCCCTTCCCTCCGCAGGGCGCTGCGGGCGGCCTTCCCCGAGAGGCGGCGAAGCCGGAGAGGAGGTCCTAACACCTCCGCGCCGTGCACACAGTCCCAGCCGCCTCCGCGGTCGCATCGTCTTGTTTACTTTCCTTATCCAGAGCCGCATCCCTCCCCACCCCCATGCCTGGACTGTTGACGTGGCTGATGGTTCATGTTTGTGATACCTTTCCTTACTGTTTGCATCATCCCAAAGACCGTGCCAATCTCCCATCCCAAGATAAACAAAAATACATTTGCATGGGGCAGAGGACGTTATTTGGCGGCTTTTGTGTGTGTGCGTGTGTGTGTGTGTGAGAGAGAGAGAGAAACGGATTGTTAGAGTACTAATAGTAGTCACAATATTCGGTATTTAATGACCCCAGAGCAATGTTGATGTGTAGATTCCAAGAATGTAATTTATGTATTGGAACTGTGGAAAGAGAATAGAAAGCAGTAATCTATTAGGTAAGCTAGACTTTGGGTGACAGGTTAGTATTTGTCACATTTAATGATTTCATCAAATCTCTTGTCCATTTTATATTTTGCAGAAAAAAAAACCAGCTTTGAAATGTGTATGGTCAATTGAATTAGTTATGATGGATAGCATGGTATTAATAGTGGGGGGAAATAATCCAGTGAACACCATCATGCTGGCTTTAAATTATGGTTTCATCTCTTTAAAAAGTACTGTAAGCGTGAAGGTAGGGTTAAACTTCCAGAAAAGATTGTTTATTGGATTACAATCAGATATGGTATTTGAGGAAGAGCTTACCAAAAAGTCCAACATGGTAGTTTAATTTATTTGAAACATGGTTTGAGTTAGATTTAGGGAGACATTTCTTCAGAGAAGAGGGTAAAAAAGGTTACTAGTACGTTGCGAAAATGGAGACAAATAACTTTGGCTTTTCCTGGATCCTTCATTCAACAAACATTTGAGTACCTGCCATGCATCAGTCAGTTTATCTCTAAAGTGAAAAATTGTGATTGTTATTCAGACTGACTTAATAGTACAAAGTTTGTTCAGTAATATTTTTACTCTGTGCTCTCTGGCACAGAATTTGGTTTGGTGAAAGTATCTTGGATTCTCTCCATCCTGAGGAATTTTGTTACTGAAGAACAAAAATCAGTTCTTTAAGGCAGTTTTATGACATGAATACTAAGAATAGGTTTAAAACTTGATTCATTAAAGTGATATCTTTCAAAAAACATTTGGTTCTCATAGTTAACAACAAAAAGCAAATGTTACAAAGGGTTACCAGCTGTTCTCTCAAGCAGTACTTAAAAGATGATGATGCGGGGGCCGGCTCCGTGGCCGAGTGGTTAAATTCGCACGCTCCGCTGCGGCGGCCCAGGGTTCAGATCCTGGGTGAGGACATGGCACCACTCCTCAGGCTAGAGGCGGCGTCCCGCGTCTCACAACTAGAAGGACCTGCAACTAAGATGTACAACTATGTGCAGGGGGTATGTACAGTGGGGTTTGGGAAGATAAAGCAGAAAAAAAAAAAGGGATGATAATGCGGGCCGGCCCCGTGGCCGAGTGGTGAAGTTTGTGCTCCCCTTAGGCGACCCAGGGTTTTGCAGGTTCAGATCCTGGGCGCGGACATGGCACCACTCATCAGGCTGTGCTAAGGCGGTGTCCCACATGCCACAACTGGAAGGACCCACAACTAAAATATGCAACTGTGTACCGGGGGGCTTTGGGGAGAAAAAGGAAAAATAAAATCTTTAAAAAAAAAAAAGACTTGTTCATGTTTAAATATGTAAATTAGACACCTAGAACCATTTTCAATGCCTAGTTTAATGGAGTGGTTCAGTAGTTTGGTGGGAGTATGTTATAACTGTATAAAATTACAGTTATTTCATAAATCTGTATTGAATTTAAAGCTTATGTACCATAAGATTGAGGAATACAGAGATACATAATATTTGGTGCTAGCGTTATATTATTGTAAGCACATTTCTTGTTTGGTGAAGGACTGGGAGTGAGGAAGAAGTTAAGCAAAATAGATAAATAGATAAATAAGAATAATAATAAAGCAAAACGAGCAAAACATTACCTGCTTTAAAAGAAAGGTACTTTCCTTAAAGTTGAGGACAGTAGACTAGACCAGAATGTGGAGATTACAGAAAGATTATAAAATACAAAAGGAAAATAGAAAATCCAAAAGGAAGTTGCACATCTACTATGTGCTTAATCAATGTCCTGGTTACTGGAGGTGGATGGAGAAGAATAAAAACCTCTGACCAGTAACATTTATTCTTCTAGGAAACCACAAGATTGCCTGCACACTATGGTCCAGTTTCCTTAGCAGGGCCTCTAAGGTGGTTGGTGATGTGAAACTTCACTACCTTTCCTATGTCACCTGCTGCTTTCCCACATATCCCTATGCTGTGGTTCTCTTAACCTACTCATTTCCCAGACACATGCACTTCATGCTTCTGTGCCTTTGTTCCTGTGGTTTCTGCCTAAAAGACCTTTTCTTTTCCATCTGTCAGACTCCTCCTCCTTCTGAGTCTTCTCCTCAAAGCTTTTGACTTTCTCATACTTACTGTACCAGTCCTTGGTTTGTGAAGAAGGGTACATTGCATTACTCCTGTCTGTCTTCCCTAACTATTATACCTAAGGGCAGGAACAGTCTGTTTCTTATGTGGTTTATTTCTTGCACAGTGTCTGGCACATAGTAGTTGATCAGTTAATGTTTGCTGATTTAATGAATAAATAATATAGATAGGGGCTGGCCCCGTGGCCGAGTGGTTAAGTTCGCGCGCTCCGCTGCAGGCGGCCCAGTGTTTCGTTGGTTCCAATCCTGGGTGTGGACATGGCACTGCTCATCAAACCACGCTGAGGCAGCGTCCCACATGCCACAACTAGAAGGACCCACAACGAAGAATATACAACTATGTACCGGGGGGCTTTGGGGAGAAAAAGCAAAAAATAAAATCTTTAAAAAAAATATATATATATATAGATAAAAGAAAAAAAAGAGATTAAGCTCTAATGAAGAACATACATATCCAATGAAAACTTAACAAAACAAAGGTTATCCAACTGAGATGATAAAGTCTGAGTATATGTAGTTCTCTTTGTGATTATAATCCGGTAGACTGCTGTTATAATACCCAAGATTTGTTCAGGACTTGCCATGTACTAGACACTGTTTTAAGTGTTTTACATGCATTCATTTATTTAAGCATAGCAATCCTAGTACTATTAGCTCTATTTTGTTGCTGAGAAAACTGAGTCACAAAAAGAATGAGTTACCCGAAGTACTTTACTACATAGCTAGTAAAGTAAGTGTTGAAACCAAGCAGAATTGCTCTAGAGCAGTCTCTCTTAACCTCTTCTTTCGTTATTGCCCATCCTCCAGGCGGCTCTTTAGACTTGGTTTTTTCCTAATCACCACCTCTCGCCCCCCGCCCGCCCCACCCCCATGGAAATTTAATACCACAGCTATACTGTCTGTCTCTTTATGTACTGGGTATTTCATTATGTAAATCATCCCCCCCAACAATTTTGGCCCCTTCGGGAGCCATATTGTTCCTGTTGATAATGCATACTCTAGAGCCTGCACTATTTTATTAAAAATGTGGTAAAATATACATAACGTAAAATTTGCCATCCTAACGCTTTTTAAGTGTACAGTTCAACACTGTTCAGTGCGTTCATTGTTATGCTAGAGCCCGCACTTTTCAAACCAGTCTTCTATGCACTTTGCTGAAAATTGCTTCTTGGCTATGAAAAACCTAAATTTTCAATGATACAGAACAGAAGTTAGCATTTCCGTTTTAAAGTGTTTACTCTTGTGTAGGGAGCTTACCTGTCTTATCCTTTACTGTGTTCACTGTGTTAGTGTATTTACTGTATTTCCTAGCATCAAGCACAGTGTTACAACATATTAAGTCCTCAGTAAATATTTGTCAAGTGAGAGAATTTATTAACTATAGCATGTTATATAATCTCTAAAACATACACAGTATGTAAAAACATTATATATTCAAATAGTTTATTAAAATATGCATAGTATATTAGTATATTTTAAAACAGAATATAAAAAAATGAATTGAAGCAACAAAACCTTAGGATTGTTTAAGATAAATAGTATTAAATAACTCAAGAAAAAGAATTGTTAACAGCTGTTTTAAACAGTCAAATATATATTGTCTATGTAAAAGGCATTTTGCAACAACATTAAGTGGGATACAAAGTTATACTAACAAAAAGAAACTAGTGTTTTGAGAAAATTAGGTACTAAGATGTTAATACTTAACCGCAATTTAAAGCAGTACGAATGCTTATTCATTTCTATGCAGATACACATGTAGATAAATATTTTCTATAAATGGCATAATAATATACCTGCTGTTTTGTAACTTACTTTTGTCACTTGACTGTATGTGTTATATACATCCCATGCCAAATGTGAATCTATATCATAATTTGTAATGGCTCTGTAGTATTCCATTGTATTCGATTGTTTTCTTTTTTTATCTCTTCTGAGCAATACTATGGTGAATATTCTTGTACTTATATCTTTGTGCACATTTCTGTTATTTCTCAGAATAAATTTCCAATACAGTAGTCCCCCCGATCAATGGTTTCACTTACCATGGTTTCAGTTACCCTTGGTCAACTGAGGTTCGAAAATATTAAACGGAAAATTCCAGAAATAAACAATTCATAGTTTTAAATTGCTTGCTGTTCTGAGTAGCGTGATGCAATCTCTTGCCATCCTGCTCCCTCCTGCCCAGGAAGTGAATCATCCCTTTGTCCAGCTGATCCACCCTGTACACGGCACCCACCCAGTAGTCACTTAATAGCCATCTCAGTTATCAGATCAACTGTGTGGTATCACAGAGCTTGTGATCAGATAACCCTTATTTTATTTAGTAGTGGCCCCAAAGTGCGAGAGTAGTGATGCTGGCAATTTGGATATGCTGAAGAGAAGCTGTAAAGTGCTTCCTTTAACTGAAAAGGTGAAAGTTCTCAACTTAATGAAAGGGAAAAAAAATTGTATGCTGAGGTTGCTAAGATCTACCATAACTTTTATTACAGTATATTGTTATAATTGTTTTATTGTATTATCAGTTATTGTTGTTAATCTCTTACTGTGCCTAATTTATAGATTAAACTTTATCACAGGTATCTACGTATAGGAAAGAACAGCGTACATAGGGTTTGGTACTATTCATGGTTTTGGGCTTCCACTATGGGTATTGGAACATATCCCCCATGGATAAGGGTGAATGTCTATAGTAGAAATTCTGAGTCAAAGATATACACACTTTAAATATTGATATATACTTTCATATTAGTGACACCAATTTATATTCCCATCCCAGACTATTGGGTATAAATGCCATCGCTCTCTCTCTTCTTTAGCTCTGTGATTTTCCTATTCTGTAAAATGGATAACCAAAATATTTCTTTTATGGTTGTTATCATAATTAAGTGAGAGAATAAATATAAATGTTTGATGCCTAAGTGCTTAGGGAATGGCAGCTACTGCTTTTAATATTCATTAAGCAATAAGATACTGCTTTTAATGTGATATATGCACTTCCCCAAAACCTTAAGAGTAATGAGTAACATCAGTCTTTATAATCTTTGCGCATGATGAGGAAAATGATGTATTATTTTAATTTGACATTTGGGGATGTTGAACATCTTTTCATATGTTTATTAGATTTTTGTGTTTCTTTTGCATTGCTTTGCATTTTCCATGCTTTTAAAATTTGCTCCTTTTCTTATATTTGGAAATTTTTATATATTAGGAATGTTGACTTTACCTAATTTGCAAATGTTTCCCTGTATTTTGTCATTTTCAGTTGAATTTGTTTATGGCACTTTTTTTTAACGCTATAGATTTAAAAAAATACATTTGTAGATATCCCATGTCACCATTTGTTTGGTTTATGGTTTATGGCTTTCCCCACCCTAAGATTACCAAAATATTTGTATATAATGTTTTAACGTACATTTCTCACATTACAATTTCTAATTCTTCTGGAATTTATTTTGTTATAAGATAAGATACAGTTTTGTTTTGTTTCCACGTGGATAGCTAGGTGCCCCATCCCTTTCTTTTACTGCTTTGAAATGCCTCTTATATACTAAATTTCCAAATACACTTGGACTACTTTCTAAACTATTTAGTTCAGTCAAGCTGTTTTATAATTTTTAATGTAATATAGGGCAGATTTTCCTTCATTACTCTTCCTTTTAATATTCTTCTTGGCATGTTTATTCTCCTAGGGAATCTTTGCAATCATTTTGTAAAGTTGTCCTACTCCTTCAAAAGAATCACATTTTTTGTTTGTTTGTTTGTTTGTTTGTTTCTATGAGGAAGATTGGCCCTGAGCGAACATCTGTTGCCAACATTCCTCTTTTTGCTTGAGTAAGATTGTCCCTGAGCAAACATCTGTGCCAGTCTTCCTCCATTTTTTTGTGTGTGTGGGATGCCACCACACCTTGGCTTGATGAGCAGTGTGTAGGTCTGTGCTCGGGATCTGAACCTGTGAACCCCAGGCCACCAAAGTGGAGCACATGGGCCTAACCACTACACCACCGAGCCGGCCCCCCTCATTGAGATTTTGATTGAGGTTTTCAGATTACTTGAAATAGTAAATCCTGAATGTACCTTTTTTTTTTTAAAGATTTTATTTTTTTCCTTTTTCTCCCCAAAGCCCCCCGGTACATAGTTGTATATTCTTCATTATGGGTCCTTCTAGTTGTAGCATGTGGGATGCTGCCTCAGCGTGGTCTGATGAGCAGTGCCATGTCCGCGCCCAGGATTGGAACCAACGAAACACTGGGTCGCCTGCAGCAGAGTGCGCGAACTTAACCACTCAGCCACGGGGCCAGCCCCCTGAATGTACTTTTAAACTTCGTGATCACAATTGTCTTTTCAGTTGAGCATATTACTCAATAAGGGCATTTAAATTTTTTTTTATGTGGTGCTTAGTACAATTCTGTATAAACGAGTGTTTTATAAATATATTTTTATGGTGCTCATTGATTCAAAGGTGAAAACTTTTCACCTCCAAAACTCAAAGGCATGCCATTTTCTCAATAATAGGAAAATGTGTTGTTACCTGTACATATCGTAAAACTTGAATAATTGTTCAGAGATGGTTTTCATTAAGTTTCTGCAAGGAAAGCCCATTATGTTTTTTTTGTTTGTTTTTTTTTTTAAAGATTCTCTTTTTTCCTTTTTCTCCCCAAAGCCCCCCGGTACATAGTTGTATATTCTTCATTGTGGGTCCTTTTAGTTGTGGCATGTGGGACGCTGCCTCAAACCTCAGCATGGTTTGATGAGCAGTGCCATGTCCATGCCCAGGATTCGAACCAACGAAACACTGGGCCGCCTGCAGCGGAGCGTGAGAACTTAACCACTCGGCCACGGGGCCAGCCCCCGCATTATGTTTTTATGTTTGAAAATTCAAAATGTTTCTTTAATTAGTATGTAAGGCAGCCTACTCTAAAATTCTTATAGTAGATATTGTCACTATTAAGTTGTACCCATTTCCATTTCTTGTTAGTGTGTGTGTATTACAGTAGTGTTCCCCTTACTTGCTCACAATCATTTAATAGAGGAAGAATAAATGAGAGCCGGCACCATGGAGGCCTTCTTATAACAGTAGATGCCTGTTAGCCAAAGTGTAGAAATTACTTAATCCACATATCAAAAAGAAATCAGTTTTCAAAGTTTCCTAAATCACTTGGCATAATCTAAGCTTTTTAAATTACTATAACCATATCATTGACTCTGTTTCAGTGAAACCAAATATAAAATACGGCTTTAAATCATCTGTAAAACCTTTTAATGACCATGTACAAACAGCCTTTTGATATAAATGGGCATCATGTTACCCATTTATAGAGGAAATTGAAGCTTTGAGAAGTTAATGTCAAATAGTAGAAAGAAAGTAAACTAATATTTTGAGTACCAAATGAACCAAGCACTTTATTTAGTGTTTTCCTGGGTTATCTTATTTTAAAAAGTAGATAATTTCCGAACGGTAAATTTGATCAAGCTATTGGTGCATTACGTAAACACAGAATATGTCTCCATCGTACCAATTCCTCTTGTTTTTTTCTTTACTTTCTTTATGCAGCTGTGATTATTTACTCAATTTTTATGTAATAAGAATGTGCCTATATCCTGTTTTTTATCAGCTGCTTTTCCCAGCTGCTTAGATATCCATGGTTGATTGTAATAATGATCTGGATCATTTCTCCTTGTTTTTTAGATTCCTGAATTTGACAACTTGTACCTAGATATGAATGGAATTATACATCAGTGTTCCCATCCTAATGATGATGATGTTCACTTCAGAATTTCAGATGATAAAATCTTTACTGATATTTTTCACTACTTGGAGGTGTTGTTTCGAATTATTAAACCTAGGAAAGTGTTCTTTATGGCTGTTGATGGTGTGGCTCCTCGAGCAAAAATGAACCAGCAGCGTGGGAGGCGTTTTAGGTAAAACATTTATGGTTTATTTTTGAATCCTATTTAGAGTAATAAAACATATTATTTTGAAGATGATTGACTTAACACAATGCATCTTCTGTTCATATTCTCTGCTTAAATTCCCCCAGAAATGGAAATATCCCATACTTATAATGTCATACTTTATCAATCAAGTAAATGAATTAGTAATTCAAGTGAGGTGTCGTTTCTGAAAGCATATGTTGGGCTGTATAAACTTACTCTCTTGTTCTCTGTCCCAAATTTTTCAAACTTCTCCTTGGTAATTAGGAAATGGTAGTAGTAAAGAAAGCTTCTATGGTAGTCTGCCCTGAGCTAAGGAACCTCAGAGTGAACGGAGAGATTGTTCTAATGAGAATATCATTGACATTTAATTTAGTTAAACAGACATTTGTTGAATGCCCAAACCCTGGGCTAGAAGCTGGCTCTGATTGAGCATGGGTCCAGATTGGGCAGAAAGGCAAGTGAGATTAGAAGGTGACTGATGGAGTATGAGAAGGGAGTTGAGTTAGGATACTCAAGATATTAGCAGCCCAGTGTGTGAGATGGGAAGTAGGACAAGTAAAAGGATGAGAAAAGGTTGTACACAGAGAGAGGGTTTTAAATTCAAAATCTTGGACATGTGGAATATTTCTAAATAGCAATGAGAGCATGCTGCATCCTCATTATGACTAGCAGAAGTAAAGTTAGGAGGGTTGTTGGAACTGAAGGGAAGAAAGCATGAGTCTAGCATGTTTGATGGGTCGTTAGCATAATGAGTCATTTCATCACAATGGCAGGTAAAGGAGTGGAAAGGGTACCTGTGAATCAGAGGTGGAAATCATCAAGGAAGGTGGGAAACTACCTTGGAGAAGGTTAGCAGTAAGAATGGGGAAAGGATGGTAGAAAGTGCTGATATAAATACCAAAAGAGAAAAGATACTAAAGATACTGGAATGACTGTGCAATCCTTGAAGATGAGGACCACCTCTTACTAAAATTTAGATTTTCAAGTACCACCCAAGACTTACTTAATCTGAATCTCTCAAAACTGAGCCCTGGATACTATTTTTACCAGACTCACCTGGTATTTGTTAAACTAGTTTTGAGGAGCTGCTGGGCTAGAAAATCTAGTGTTGCGAAAGGATTATATGAGCCCAGTGTATCAGTCAGTGTTCAGTTGCAGGTAATAGAAATCTAGCTATTTTAAGCAGAAAGGGCTTAAAATAATACAGACAATTAGGTGCTTATAAAAATCATTGTGAGAGCCAAAAGGGTGGGAATCTAGATGAGCCTTCAAGAATGACTTCCAGAACACCACCAAAGAACTGACCCACCAAGTGGGACTACTACTGCAACGCTCTGGAAGGGGAGGAGTTCAGAGGCCTCCACCAGAACAGGTGGTTCCAGGAATTCATTCCTTTAGCTGTGATTCAGGAATTAAGAAGCTACCACCTGAACTGTAGCTCCAAGAATACATCACTTTAGTTACAATTCAGCAATCAAGAAGCCATCGCTGTGTCTGTTAGCTCTAGAGCCCCAGTGCACCTGCTAGATCTGTACCAGAAAAAATGGATGCCCTGCACCTTGCTTCTCAGCACCTACAAAGCTCCTGAATATTGAGATCGCTTCTGCTATTTATGAAAGACACACGCCCCACAAACACGGTGCCTCAACTGTCACGCAGACTTCACTACACTTCCACTTTCCAAACCTTTGATAGAGGCATCTAACTAACAAAAATCTAAGTCAAATCCAGAAACCTAGCTGCAGGGAAGCCTGAGAGTTTAATTTTTTTATCTTTCCAACCTCTCTAGTATCAGAAGACAATCTAGGAGAATGGAGTGGATGTTGAGGGCCAATCCACCATAACCATCACAAGCCTTTACTAAATACTGTGCTGGCATTGAGTGCTCCGTGTTTCTCCCAAATCCCCCAGTCGGCTTTTTCTCATTCTCCACAGCAACTGTTTCTCCATTCATAATCTTTATTCATATTTTTTCTGCATCTATTACTCATTTTTAAACTACTGCCATCTGGCTTTTGTCCCACCAGGCCACTGAAACTTCCTTATAAGATTACAGATGGGGGGCCAGCCCCGTGGCTGAGTGGTTAAGTTGGCACACTCTGCTTCGGCAGCCCGGGGTTTGCCAGTTAGGATCCTGGGCATGGACCTACACACTGCTTATCAAGCCATGCTGTGGCAGCATCCCACATAGAAGAAGTAGAATAATTTACAACTAGGATATACAACTATGTACTGGGGCTTTGTGCAGAAAAAAAATACCAGGAAGATCGGCAATAGATGTTAGCTCAGGGCCAATCTTCCTCACCAAAAGAAAAGCATACCTTAAAAAAAAATCTCCGTCATGAATCATTTGTCTATTTCCCAATCTTCTTAAAAAGAAAAAAAAGATTACACATAGACTCTTTATGGCTAAGTGTAAAGAATAATTTTATCTTTATATCACTTCACTTATCTACATTATTTAACAATGTTGACCATTCCTTCTATCTTTCTTTTTTTTGAGGTAGATTAGCCCTGAGCTAACTACTGCCAATCCTCCTCCTTTTGCTGAGGGAGACTGGCCCTGAGCTAACATCCATGCCCATCTTCCTCTACTTTATACATGGGACACCTACCACAGAATGGCTTTTGCCGAGCGGTACCATGTCCGCACCCAGGATCCAAACCAGCGAACCCCAGGCTGCAGAAGCGGAACATGTGCGCTTAACTGCTGCACCACCGGGCCAGCCCCATTCCTTCTTCTTGAACTTCCTTTCCTTCAACTTCACGTGACCATGCTCTCTCTGGCCATACTTTCTTAGTTTCCTTGTTATCTTCTCTTCATCTGCTTTTTTCTTAAATATTGGTGTTTCTTAAGGCTCTATCTTGAGTCCTGATGATCTTGTTCAATGACTTTAATTACTGTGTCTATACTGATGACTCCCAAATTTATCTTTCTGGTGGGTATCTCTCTCCAGAGCTCCTGTGTATCCAAATGCCTGCTAGATATCTCCTTTTGGAAAGCACAGATACGATTTAGACTTAACGTGTTCAGAACTGAACTAATCTCTGCCTCAAAACTGCCTTCCTTCTCTGTTCCCTATTTCAGTGAATGGCAACACCATGCAAATAGCTGCTCAACTCAAAAATCCAGGAGTAATTTGGACTTCTCCCTTTTCCTCATTCCCCACATCCAAGTCCTGATTATCTAGTCTCTTAAATTTGTCATCTCTATTTACTTTTCATCTTTACTGCTTCTGTCTCAGCCTAGGCCCCTATAATCTTCCACCGAGATTGCTGTAATAGTCCCACATTGTCCCTGTCCTGAACATTCTCTGTATTGCAGCCACATTAAGCACTGTGGCTGTTTTTCTGTCTCTGCAGTGGAATATAAGCTCTGTGAGAACAGGAATCATTTCTTTTTTGTTATATCCCAAAAACTTCTCACATAATAACATTAAATAATCATTTGTTCAATCAAACAAGGAGGGAGAGAAAAGAAGAAAGAATGGATTTCTCTGGCGAGATTACAAATTAGTTGATTTCTTCAAAATTTTAGTTACATTGAAGAGGTCAGTAAGAGAGAGAGTTTAAATGTGAAGAAGAGTTTGTTTATCAAAGAAATAGAATTCCACAAGGCACAGTAGATAGAACTAGTAGCAAGGCTGTAGAAAATGGACATAAAGCAGAGCTTCCTGACTTGTATGCTGTGTGGCATACTGGTGTGCCAAAGATGGGTAACAGGAGAAGCCAGACAGGAATCAGGATGCCTGTATTCAAACCTAGGTCTGTCTGACTCTAAAACTCATGTTCTTCCTGGTAAATTCTGTTGCTTCAAAAATGCGATGATTTTAGCAATTGACATCTTAATCTTATTAGGCCTTCATTTTAACTTTTTATGAGAAAACCCAAAGATATACATTATAATTTTATAACTGTTTTTATATAATATTCTTAGAGATCATTTTAATAAGGCATTTCTTGTTTGCTGTTATTAAATGTAGTACATATAATGAACATTTAATGTTATACTTTTTAGCTTGTTTCTAGAATCTATTTGCTGTGTAACTGTGATAAGAAGGCAGTTACTTTATAATAAGTGTTTGTAATGTTCTGTCTCAGTTTTTTACTATTATAATGTTCTACTTCTATAGTCCTTATCTGAAAACTCTTAATCCTTTTTTTCTTTCTTTTTTTTCCAATGAGGAAAATTGGTCCTGAGCTAACATCTGTGCCAATCTTCCTCTATTTTGTATGTGGCATGCTGCCACAGCATAGCTTAATGAACTGTGTGTAGGTCCGTGCCCAGGATCCAAACCCATGAACCCCGGCCACTGAAGCAGGGCACACGAACTTAACCACTATGCCAGCCGCTGGCCTCTAAAAAAAAAACCAATTCTTTAAATAAATAAAAACAATTTGGAGGCTCATCTTTATCAATTATAATCATTTCAAAACTTGTATTATGTTTTGAGCCTTAAAATTGATGAATTAGTATTTTAATTATAAAAGCATCTAAATAGCAATTTACTTTATATAAAGACATCTGCTTTTTTCCAGAAACTTTAAGATATTTTTTCCTTAACGTTTCAGGTCAGCAAAGGAGGCAGAAGACAAAATTAAAAAGGCAATAGAAAAAGGAGAAACTCTTCCTACCGAGGCCAGATTTGATTCTAACTGTATTACACCAGGTAAATTCACTGAGAGAAAAATTCTGAGAGATTTAAAATGTAAATGTAATTTTTTTTTCAAATGCATTTTTCTTTTTTAGACTCTTATTTATTTTGTCCTTAGGATTTCATTTGCTTTATTTTCCCAATTATGTCTCATGAGATGATTTGGTCACCTTGGTCATAAGAGCTCCTATGAAGACTGTAGGGATTTGCAGATGATAAGAGCAGCTGAAGATTCTCCCAGATGCACCAAATTCCAGACCTAGAAAGAACTTACAAGACCCATACTACTCCCACCATTTATTTGTATGGAAATTGACTCAGTGAGGTTGCTGCTTACCCAAGTTAAAGCTTGTTGTATTCAGGACAAGAAACCCATTCTCCTAGTCCAGAGCACTCACTGTTCTTCTCAAAGGCAGTTAAGATTTCTGTGACTTTAAGGATAAATGAATTTATCAGGTTTTTGTTTAGTTTTATATGCAACAATGTGCTCTGTACTTCTTAGGGCTTTATCTAACATCGTTATAATCCTTTACTTTGAAAAAAAAATCTTAAAATCTTACATTCTTATGAACTCTTTACTAACTACGGTAATTTTCTCTTTCATTAAGTGCCCGAATCACTCATTACTTAATTTAATAACCAGTTTTATCCTGGTTGTGATTTAAGACTGTATTGCCTTTGACTCTTGACCTTCTAGGCGTTTCCTAAAACGTAGTCATTGTAGACTCAGTTTCCAGATTAATAATAATTTTCTAGGTTAACAGTAGTAATGATAATGAGAGTTGTGGTTATTATTGGCTGTTATTGTATTGGTTGTTATTGTTAATCTGATTGAAGCTGCATGCTTTAAAAAAAAAACTTCAGAATTCAGCAGAGGAAATAGAAGATTGAGGTTCATTAGAGAGTTGAAACTCTGCCCTTGTGTGAAAATATTTGAAGCATAGTCCTGAGGAAGTAGTAACATTCCTTGACTTTCCTTATCTGATGTTAACTTCATTTTAGGGTGACCAGTGAAATTAGCAACAGTTGTGATATTTGCTAGGGATAGGTGTAACATTACTTGCTTTTCAAGATTAAGTGAGAGAGCTTTCCATGTCCTTTGGAGATCTTTTACCCAACTCTCCCTTGGACACTCAGATTGAATTTCTTGTTGTCATTGGCAACTCACTGTTTTTATGTCTCTTTCAGATTAAACTTTGTAAAACTTTGTGTTTATAGGGACGGAATTCATGGCCAGGTTACATGAACATCTGAAGTATTTTGTAAATATGAAAATTTCTACAGACAAGTCGTGGCAAGGAGTTACCATCTACTTCTCAGGCCATGAGGTTATTATCTCTTTTTATTTAAAGAGTTAGTTTTTTTAATTTAATATTCTGAATCATAGCATTTTATCGCATTTTTTTTTTAAACATTATATTTAGACTCCCGGAGAAGGAGAGCATAAAATCATGGAATTTATCAGATCCGAGAAAGCAAAGCCAGATCATGATCCAAACACCAGACACTGTCTTTATGGTTTAGATGCTGACTTGGTAGGTATAATGTTTATTGTTATTATAATCTTATGCCATTGTAGTTAAATATCTTAGTCTTATCTGAGAAGCTTTCTGGCTATGGAAACAAATACTGGAGATACACTAATGATTGCTTCTTCTGCCGTTAACCAAAGTTCTAAACTAATTGGAAAGTGAGCGCTTTTGCCATAGTTTATGATCAACAGGTCGTTACAGTTAGTGTTCACACCTAACTGACCTTAGTGCTGTGAATACTCTGCTGAGGTCAGGGTCAGGGAACCTTTTTACCCCCATGCTTAATATATAACTTTTAAGACCACCTGATCTGATAACGCCATGACCTAAATAACTTTACTAGATGTTTTTTGTTATAACATTTTGTTATGGAAATTTTCAAACATAAACAAAAGTAGAGAAGATGGTATAATGAGCCTGCTTGTGTCCTTCATCCAACTTAATTATTTTCAAGTCATATCTCTAACCATCCGTCTCCTTTCTTCTACTCCCTTGGATTCTTGAAGCATATCCCAGACATTGTATCATTCAGTCTGTAAATATTTTGTAACGTTCCTCTAAAGGAGAAGCTTTTTTTTTTAATGTAACCACAATGCTACTATCTCACATAAAACAAAAATTAATAATCACTGTTTAAGATATAAATAACCACTTAGATTTCTCTTTTTTCCAATTATTTCATAAATGCTTCATTTTGTCTTGTTTGAATCAGGATTGAAATAAAATAAACAATATACATTGCAGTTAGTTGATAAGTCTCACTAGACTGACATACTTTGGAGATTAGAATACTATGTGAGAACATTAACTACAAATACCCTTTTCCAGTTTTTTCTGAGTTTTCATATGTTAGAAGTATCCTGGCCTCCAGAAGAGTCCTACATTCTTCTTTCATGGGAAAGCTGCTGCCTCTAATTTCTTACCCATTCACCCCCCCATGGCAAGTGAAAAGGTGTGAAAACCAAGAGAAGATTTGGGGTATTTTGGGGAGGGGGCGCAGAGTGGCCGTTATAAAGGTCATGAGTCTAAGGTAAACATTATTTTTTTAGAAAAGTACACTCACTCTGCCCCATTCATGGCCTATAAATGGATCATGTTTTGATATTTTTATACTTAATGTACTAATACATTGTTTCTTTATTTTCCTTAGATAAGCATGTTCTTCTTTGTATAGAAATGTTTTTTGTTGAATTGCTTTTGTGAACTTGATACTGTAAAAAATAAGAAAGTAGAAACATCTCTTAATCAATTTTCCACAGATTATGCTTGGATTAACAAGTCATGAGGCACATTTCTCTCTTTTAAGAGAAGAGGTTCGGTTTGGTGGCAAGAAGACACAAAGGTAAATCATACTGCATATATGTTGGAAGGAAGAACATGAATTGAATTAATAATAGTAATCCCTTAACAGATAGACTATCTATAAATATTTTCTCCCATTCTGTGGATTGCATTTTCACTCTGTTGATAGTATCATCTGATGCACAATTATTTATTTAATTATTTATTTATTGCTAGGGAAGATTGGCCCTGAGCTAACATCTGTTGCCAGTCTTCCTCTATTTGTATGTGGGTCGCTACCACAGCATGGCTGCTGATGAGTGGTATAGATCTGCACCCAGGAACCAAACCCAGGCTGCTGAAGTGGAGTGTGCTGAACTTAATCACTAGGCCACCAGGCTGGCCCCACAAAATTTTTAATTGTAACCAAGTCTATTTTTTTTCTCTTGTTACCTGTACTTGTAGTTTAATATCCACGAAATCATTGCCAAATCCAGTGTCATAAAGCTTTTTCCCATTTTGTTCTAAGAGTTTTATAGTTTTAGCTCTTACAGTTAGGTCTTTAATTCATGTCGAGTTAATTTTTGTATATGGTGTAAAGTAAGGATCCAACTTCATTTTTTTACACATGGGTGTCCAGTTTTCCCAACACCGTTTGTTGAAGACAGTCTTTTCTCCATTGTCTTGGCACCCTGGTCAAAAATTACTTGACTATATATGCAAGGGTTTACTTCTGGGCTCTGTATTCTGGTCCGTTGGTCTGTATGTCTGTCTCTATGCCAATACCACAGTATTTTGATTACAGTAGCTTTACAGTAAGTTTGGAAATCAAGAAGGGTGAGACCTCCAACTTTGTTCTTGTTTTTCAGAATTATTTTGGCTCTTCAAGGTCTCCTGAGATTAATAATTTTTAGGACAGATTTTTTTGTTTATGAAAAAAACGTCATTGGGATTTTGCTAGGATGGCTTTGAATCTGTAGATCCCTTTGGGTAGTATTTACATCTTGATTTTAAGTGTTCCAGTCTATTAACATGGGATGTCCATTCATGTATGCCTTCTTTAATTTCTTTCAGCTACATTTTGTAGTTTCAGTATACAAGTCTTTTGCCTCCTTTTTTTCTCTTCTTTTATTTCAAAAAAAATTTTTTTAGTATAGTTACCTTGCTGTAGATTACATTCCCAGGACTTATTTATCTTATAACTAGAAGTTTATATTTTTGACCACCTTCACCTGTTTCACCCACGCTTCTCTCCTCACTTCTGGGAAACATCAGTCTGTTCTCTGTATCTATGAGTTTGGTTTTTGTGAGTTTTTTTTAAAGATTTTATTTTTTTCCTTTTTCTTCCCAAAGCCCCCCGGTACATAGCTGTATATTCTTCGTTGTGGGTCCTTCTAGTTGTGGCATGTGGGACGCTGCCTCAGCGTGGTTTGATGAGCAGTGCCATGTCTGCGCCCAGGATCCGAACCAACAAAACACTGGGCCACCTGCAGCGGAGTGCAGAACTTAACCACTCTGCCACAGGGCCAGCCCCTATGAGTTTGGTTTGTTGCCTCTGGTTTTTTCTTTTGCTTCCTTGGTCAAGTTTATTTATAGGTGTTTTATTCTTTGGGATGGTATTGTAAATGGAATTGTTTCTTAATTTCCTTTTTGGATTATTTGTTGCTGCTGTGTAGAAAAATAACTGATTTTTCTGTGTTGATCTTATTTCTTCAGCTATGCTGAATTCATTTTTTAGTTCTAGTAGCTTTTCAGTGGATTTTATGGGATTTTCTGTATATACAATCATGACATCTGTAAATAGAGTTTTACTTCTTCTTTTCCAATTTGGATGCCTTTTATTTCTTTTCTTGCCTAATTGCCCTGGCTAGGACTTCCATTATAATGTTGAATAGCTATAGTGAAAAGGGCCATCCTTGTCTTATTCTTGATCTTAGGAGAAAGCTTTCAGTCTTTCACCATTGAGTATGATATTAGCTGTGGAGTTTTCATGAATTCCCTTCATCATATTGAGGAAGTTCCTTTCTATTCCTACTTTGCTGAGTATGTTTATATTATGAAAGAGTGTTGAATTTTGACAAATGCTTTTTCTGCTAAATGATTGCGTGGTGTTTTTTCCTTTATTTATTAATGTGGTGTATTACATTAACTTTTTTTTCTTATGTTGAACTATCTTTGCATTCCTGGTATAGATCCCACTTTTTCATGGTGTATATAATTCTTTTAATATGCTATTGTCAGCTTATATTTTTAATTGTAGTTAAACTTGGAGTATGGGCTAACAGCCAGGAATTAGACCTCTATACCAAGTGAGGGAGAGAAAAGAGGAAGAAGTGATAGAGCCTTGCCATTGAAGCCTTGGACTATACTGCAGTGGATTTAGAGTGTATACTCACTTATCTGCATGCTTTGTGCTAGTGGTCAGCCTTAAATGGGCCAGATCCCACTGGTTCTTACACGTATTTTGTATTATTTAGGCTTTCTTAATTCTGAGAGCTCTTCCATAGGAAGCATAATGCAAACCAGTTATTTTGAATTTTATTATAAGTGCAATTATATTTTTATCTTTACATTATCCTGCAGCTGTAATGTAAATCACATGCCTTGATTACAAGAATTAATTATCCTCTAATGATGTTTTATTTTAAACTTTGCTACATTTTAAAACTTGAACCTTAAAAATATAATTAACTCTGTGTTGATCATCTGACTAATTACAGGGTATGTGCACCAGAAGAAACCACGTTTCACCTCCTACACTTGTCTTTAATGAGAGAGTATATAGACTATGAGTTTTCAGTATTAAAAGTAAGTATTAATATAGCCGAGGAGTATGCAGAAGATGTGTATGCAGAAATTTCCATAGTCTTTGACTTTTTTCTCCATTTTGCTGTAGGACAAGATTGCATTTAAATATGATATTGAAAGGATAATAGATGATTGGATTTTGATGGGATTTCTTGTTGGCAATGATTTTATCCCTCATCTACCTCATTTACATATTAATCATGATGCGTTGCCTCTTCTTTATGGAACATATATTACCATCCTGCCAGAACTTGGAGGTAAGAAAAGTTTATTATTCATTTGAGGCTACTTTAATTAGCATTCCACTAGCCCTAAAAATATCACTCAGTTTATTAGATTATTGCATGCACATAAAGTACGAAAATATTGGGTTTGTTTTGGTCTGAGGCACCAAGCTCTGAGATTGTAATTGTAAGTGATTCACAAGCAAAGAAAATGACTAGAGTTAAGTAGTCTCATTTATTGATACCTGACTAATCTCTGCCTCTAATTACTTAAGAAAGCCAGCAGAAGTTGTTGGTTTCACTTAGCTCCTTTCATATTTAAGCATAGAAATTCAATTTTTCTAAATAGATAAGCATTAGAGTATTTAATGTGAGGGAAAGATTTTCCATTTAAACTGGGAAATTGACAAACGCTGGTGATGTGAAGAAAAGAGACAACAGTAGCAGGACATTAATCCTTTTCTTTTCAAGTTAATATATCAAATGAATGATCTAGATAGATTCTAAAACATATTTAATGAACTGTTAACAAATGTCGTTGGAAATGTGGGAGGATTATTATTGTGTGAACCTAGAATTTCTTATATTTTACTTCAGTTCTTACGTATGGTATGTTACAGTAACATCAAGTTCATAGAAACTAGGGCCACTTATATAGTCCAACACTGACTTTTTTTCTTGATTAGTAGAATGTCAACATTCAACATTTTGTGAAAAGAATTTTGTATAATTATTTAGAAAAAATAATGTTAGCTTTTAGTACAAATTAGATTTTGTTCCTTCTAGGTTATATTAATGAAAGTGGGCATCTCAACTTACCTCGATTTGAGAAATACCTTGTGAAACTATCAGATGTAAGTAACTAGAAGTTTTTAGTTTCCTTTCCCAGAGTAGCTAGAAATGCTCAGTAATCAATTACATAATAACGGAAGAAAAAGCTTTTGTAATTTTACTCTACTTGATCATTCTGTATAAATAATTTCACCTAAATCATTTTTATATACTTTTTATTTTTAATTTTCAGAGTAGTAGATGAAATCCCCATATGCATAAAAAAGTAACATTCTCTGATTTCCTTTGCTCCAGAAGTAGTCTCTGTTAAGCTTGGTTGTATTCTTCCAGATACACTTAAATTATTCTTAAACAAATTTCAATATTTCTGTCCAGTTTGATCGGGAGCACTTCAGTGAAGTTTTTGTGGACCTCAAGTGGTTTGAAAGCAAAGTGGGTAACAAGTACCTCAATGAAGCGGCAGGTGTTGCAGCAGAAGAAGCCAAGAGCTACAAGGAAAAGAGAAAATCAAAGGTGTCCATTTTTTTAGATGTCCTTTCATTTTTTTAGCTGTAAAGGTAAAACTGATATTCCTTGTTTCTGATTTTCCTTCTTATGATTTTGAGGTTGCCTCATTTCATTTTCATTTCTTCGTCTCCTCTAAGGACATTTTAAAAATTGTTTTGGTTTCTTTGCTCTCTATTAGATACTGTCATTTAAATCTGATCTTTAGAAATCACTTTCTTATTTTTACCCTTGAAGAACTTCGTGATTTTTTTGCTCTTCCATTCTATTAATAAGTGTAGAAAACATTTCTAAATGTAAAAGCCCAGAAAATTTATTATCTTTTTTTAAATGTGGATATTTATAGCATTTAATGTTACATTAACTAGATCGGTAATTTTTCCCTAGAAATAGTTTATATGTAAAATCATATTTAAAAGACAGTAAATAGTCTAGGTTAAGAGTAATTAATAGCACAATATCTAAGAAATGTTAGGTGCTCTATAAATGAATAAGAGAATCAGTTAGAATTTGTTAGTACCTTGTAAAGCATCTCTAATAAGCTCCAAAGAATGTTTTATATGTGTTATCTTGGAAAAGAAACCTCTTCTGAAATTTTTCTCAAGCCTATCTGTAATTATTGGATTCTGGTGAAATTGATGAGTTCCTGTACTCTCCTTGCTGTACCAGTTCTATTTAGGTTCAAGCCTAATAACTCTTGCTCCAGGAAGGGCAACTATCCTCATTTTCTCTAGTGCAGTCCTTCTAATTGCTTAGCTTTTCCTCAGTAAAACTTAGCAGCAATCAGTCTACATTCTACTCTGTGTTTTTTCTCTTGAGAAAATAGGCTCTGCAACTTTTTGAGAACCTGTACTCACAAAGTTTACATATCAATAATCGCTGGTTCCACTCACCTCAGCTCAGCCCTTAAGTCTCATGAGTCTTCTAGGCATCTGTAGTTAACATTAGAGACACTGAGAAAATGAGAGGAGCTGGAGGGATAGCCCAGGCACAGGAAGCTGGCAGAGGCCCTGGTTTGGATGAAGAAGAGGAAATGGGGGTAAGGGAGGAGGAAGAACTAATGAGAGTCACTAGCAATAGATTAGCAAACAGCAAATAGAAGAGAGAAAGGATGAGATCACGGGGAAGAAAAACATGGGCAGGCTGTGAAGGATGCGATGAGATGGAAGAACTGTAGAAAACAAGTGAATTGCATGGAAGTAGAATTTAGAAGTCAAGGATAAGTCACAGATTCGTAAGAATGACGGGATCCAAAGATAAAGAAAATAGGTAATATTTGTAATAATTTGATTCAATCAAATTTTGGTTAATAGTACCCCAGAATTTGACATACAAAAATGTTAAAGTTGAAAGGATTTGATATTGATTGTGTACTTTTCTCTAATTCAATGACATATTCTTGAAGTGGGTTCTTTTGGGAACACGTACATAATTAAATATATTTCTCTTTTATATTGGTGAGAATTACTTATTACGTCTCTTTGAGAGACATGAATGTTAAGTTGTACATAATAAAGTTTATAATTTTAGAAAACAAGTGGTATAAAACTAAAAATGTTTAGATAATATTTCAGAATTTTTTTTTTTTTTTCCTTTTTCTCCCCAAAGCCCCCCGGTACATAGTTGTATATTAGTTGTGGGTCCTTCTAGCTGTGGCATGTGGGACGCTGCCTCAGCATTGTTTGATGAGCAGTGCCATGTCCGCACCCAGGATTCGAACCAATGAAACACTGGGCCGCCTGCAGCGGAGCGCGCGAACTTAACCGCTCAGCCACAGGGCCAGCCCCTCAGGATTATTTTTAAGATAAACTTTACTATCTATCACTTAAGGATCATTCAGTTATTTTCACAATTTTAAAAATCTCCCTGTTAAACGTCTCACTTTGAAATATATCTTGCCATTAATTTTGTGTTGATTTATAATTTTTATAGGACCAGGAAAACTCCATATGTTGGGCTGCTTTAGACACAAATGGAGAAGAAGTGGTAGCTTCTAAGGGTAAGTACAAACTATGTATTTTAATATATGACTTTTTTTTTTTTTACAAAATACTTACGTCTTTCCTTTATTAGTAATAATTAATATTAAGGACTAAGTACTAAGTAATATTGGATGGAGCGGATTTCTATGATCGTTTATAAGCATTTGCTTTGATATGTATTTATCAAAGCATTAGGGGGAAAAACAGAATATTCATAATTGTTGGCTGCTATCTTTCTGGCTTTCTTTCCAGATAATGTAGAAGATGAAACTGAAGATGATGACCTATTTGAAACAGAGTTTAGACAATATAAAAGAACGTATTACATGACGAAGATGGGAGTGGATGTAGTGTCTGAGTACGTTTTTGCCAATACTTTTACTTTAAAGTAGAAAAGATTAGATTTTGCAGTTCTTCAGAAAACAGCATAATTTTGATAGTTAACGGAGTGGGAGAGAAAGATTTTTTGGTTCCATAAATGATTGTAGATCTTTCAACAGGTATGATTTTGGAGTAGGTTATAGTTCTGTGATAAAAATTGCCAAGTAGAAAACGGTTAGATTTTTGCTTCCCATCTTAAAATGGTCACATCACACTTATCTTGAAGGACACCTGGCTCAACCCCAGGTTAATCCTAATCCAAAAGTTCCTTAAGAACTTGACCTCTACAATGGTGGCTTTCACACTTTTAAACTGCAGCCTACAGTATGAATTACATATGTTCATATTTTATTTATTTTAATTAACAAACACTTATGAAGTACTACCGAGTGCCAGGCACTATTCTAAGCATTTAAAAAATATTAACTCATTTAATTGTCACAACAATTCTTTAGGATGAGTAGAATTATTATTATTTTATGATAGAAGAAAATAAAGAATAGAGAGTTTTAAGTAATTTGCTCAAGGTGACATAGGCAGTGAGTTACAGAGCCAGGATTTGAACATAGGCAATCTGACTCCAGAGTCCTTGCTCTTAACCACTAGATGAGGCTGCTTCTCTATAAGTGAAATAAGAGTTTCATGAAATGCAGTGTACCCTTATTACATGCAATATACTTAAATATTTTATATGCTATTATTTTCACTTTTTTTTTAAATATAATAAAGCACTGAGGGGCCGGCCCCGTGGCCAAGTGGTTAAGTTCTCTCCCTCCGCTTCCACAGCCCAAGATTTTGCTGGTTCGGATCCCAGGCGCAGACATGGAACCACTCATCAAGCCACATTGAGGCGGTGTCCCACATGCCACAACTAGAAGGACCCACAACTAAAAAAAATATATACAACTATGTACTGGGAGGATTTGGGGAGAAAAAGCAGAAACAAAAAAGATTGAGAACAGTTGTTAGCTCAGATGCCAATCTTTAAAAATAAATAAATAAAGCACTAAGTATTAGATCTTTTCTAGAGAGCTTGGGATACACCCAAGCTTTCAGACATTGCTCTATATACTCTCAGACTGTCTTCTAGTCTAGATGTAGTCTTCCTGTAGGGTCTATATTCACACCGACCTCCAGTAATTGGAGGTATAGGAATTCTAGTACATTTCACCAGCTCATTTTGAAGCTTTGTCCGGTGCCATGGGTATGTAGAACTTTTAAGACTTGAGAGATACAATATTTAAAATAGTTCTGCTTTATGTTATTTTACTTTGTTTTGTGAGGAAGATTAGCCCTGAGCTAATATCTATGCCATTCTTCCTCTATTTTGTATGTGGGATGCCTCCACAGCATGGTTGATGACTGGAGTAGGTCCACACCTGGGATGTGAACCCGTGAACCCAGGCCACCAAAGCAGAGTCCACAGAACTTTAACCACTCGGCCACTGGGCTGGCCCCTCAAATAATTACGCTTTTAATCCTTTATTCCTTAGCTCTTATATTTCCTTCATTACAGTCTATAGTACCTGCAGTTGGCACTAAATGCTTAATTGGATAGCTAACTAGTTCTCTGTTTTATTTCTCTTCCTTTCTATATATTAAAATACAGATTATGAAAATGAGATACCATCTATTTGTTTGCCTAGCAAATAAGCAAATCTTTTTAAACTGTTATATTCAGTGTTGGTCCAGGAGTAGTGGTAGAGTTTTTCCCTTAATTACTGGTGGGAATATAAATTGGTAAAACTATTTTGGAAAGCGCAATCCAAAACCCTTTAAAATATTCATCCTTTTGACCCAATAATTCTAATTGCTAATCTATCTTAAAAATATACACTCAAACACAGAAGATCTTTAAGAATGTTTATTACACAGTTTTTTTTATCATAGTAAAAAATTAGAAATAATCTACATGTCCAATAAGAAGATTCATCATAATCATCTCCACCTCCTCATTATGATCACTATCTCTGCCATCTCCACCATCTCCAGAATCTGCAGAACTGCTAAACTGGTACCTCTAGAAAGTTCATAACAATTTAGAAAGATACTTAACAGTATATTATTAAGTAAAAATTTTAAAAGCAGGACACAAAGTCATATATACAGCATACTCTCATTAATAGTTTAAGAAAAAAAAGCTGGGCATAGAAAAATGGCTGAAAAGAAACATACCAAAATGTGATAGTGATTGCTACATTATGATAAAAATGCATTTCTTCATTATCTTGATTTTGAATAATGAGGAAACATTTCTTTTATAATGCAAAAGTAATACATTTCATTTTTTAAAGTGTACCTCCCAAAAGTACAGAGATCTGGAATTTCTAAGTGCATCTCTACCTAAATTTTGATAACAAACACTAACAGGTCTATAGCTACTTTTGGCTTTAGCCTAGGGCTCTTTTTTTTTTTCTTTCTTGGTGAAGATTTATTTTACCTTTAATGGTGATTTTTGAGAAAGAAGAGATTAAAGGGAATATTGCTCAGTGGATATAGCACTTTTCAAAGTGTGTTCTAGCTACTATAACCAGATTTTAAGATCTCCCTGATTTCTTCCCATGATTCTCTCAGCATCCTTCCAGTTGAAGAGTCCCATCTGTCCCTCCCATCCCACCCTAACTGTGAGGGAATGGTAGTGCCCCTTAATAGAAAGCTCCATTGGCTAAATCCTCAAACTTTAAACCAAAGGCACAGTACATTGGCTGAATAAATATGCACAGCAGGTTTAAGTGTGCTCATGGTAGAGTTAGGAAAACTATAAGGCAAACCTTTAATCTGATAGGATCGGGTTTTTTAAAAAAATTATTTTGGAGTTTCTCTGATTACAATTTTTAGCTTATTCATTGGTTAAATAAAACATCTAAGGGGCTGGCCTGGTGGCGCAGCAGTTAAGTTCGCACGTTCCGCTTCAGCGGCCCAGGGTTCGTCGGTTCGGATCCCGGGTGAGGACATGGCACCACTGGCAAGCCATGCTGTGGCAGGCATCCCACATATGAAGTGGGAGACGATGGGCACGGATGTTAGCTCAGGGCCAGTCTTCCTCGGAAAAAAGGCGGAGGATTGGGAGATGTTAGCTCAGGGCTAATCTTCCTCACAAAAAAACAACATATGAGAGGCAGAATGTGGTATCAGCAGAGATCATGCTCTAAAGACACTGGCTTGTCTTCAAAAAATGTTGTTGTAATGAAAATAATTCTTTTCTATTTTCAGTGACTTTCTGGCTGATCAAGCTGCATGTTATGTTCAAGCAATACAGTGGATTTTGCACTATTACTATCATGGAGTTCAGTCCTGGAGCTGGTGAGGGAATCAAAACAAAAATTAAGTTTTTTTAAAAAATAATGGTTCATTCTACTATAATCTCATTTGAGGATATCTTTTCCTTTTATTTCTCTTTATGGTAGTATTTTTTAGAAGATACGTACATCCAAGTTTAAATAAAATACAGTTTATCTCTTCTTATGAAAATACTTAGAAAAGACCTTCATAGAACAAAGATACTTCCAGCCCTAGCAGATGGCCCCATAAAAGGTCTTTGTTAATCTACAGATTTAAAATTCTGTCATGATGAATCAAGTGTGACAAAGTCTTGATAATTATTGGGTCTGAGGGATGGTTATCTGGGGTTGTTCATTATATTCTCTACATTTTTGTGTGTTCGAAAAAAATTTTTCTATCAGGAGTAATTGTTGAACAATGGGCTGTTTGAATGTTAGACTGGGAAACACAAAGACAAAAGAGGAAAGGAATTATTTGCTTTCCCTGGAAATAGTAATAATTCTCCATTTTTTTCATGTTTCGTATTCCAGCAAGTTCCATCTACATTTCCAAACCATCCGCCAAAATAGAAAAATAACAAACCAAAAATGATGCAGGAAAAAGTAGAAACTTTTAGGTGGTGAAGTAGCTTGTGCTGGTTTGTTTTCAGAGCACCTCTGCCAGGCTTTGTTTTAAAGCACACACAGCAAAACAAACCAATGCAAAATAATGTAGCATTAATTGTTATTTTACTTTTTAAAAAAAAATCTTTGCAATATCTAACCTGATTCTCAGGGCCTCTCTGAAGAGCATTCTAATGATGAAAATCCTTGATTTACCATTTTTTTAAGAGGATGAGTATAAGTTATTCCTATTATACCTCTAGGCATTAAGGCCAGGCACTTGAAAAGCATGTGTTCATATAATCCTAACAACTATTTAAAGTAAATAATATTCTCTACCTTTTACAGATGAGGATCAGAGAGGTTAAGTAACCTTTCTAAGGTCATAGACCCAAGAATCAAGTCTGAGCGTATGATTCCAAAATCTATACGTTTTCCATTATTCTGCATGCCATTCTTCCTCCTAAACTTTTCCTCTCCTTTTGAAATACTCCATAATTGTATAATATAAAAACATTTCTTCCCTTTTTTTGGCATCCTTACTCAAATATTAAGAACATTGAAATTTTTTTATAAATTGTTCAAAGCTTTGTAAAAGTATTTATACCTGTGGTTAAATATGGGAAGATATTAAAAACAAAAATAGTGTTTATGATTAATAAATGGCTTAATCCTTATCACAAACACAATTTTATATATATATATATATTTATATATATATATATATATATATATACACACACATACTAATTCAAAGATAAAAGTTCTTAGAGCTGGCTAGTAAAGCCACATGTGCTCAGGCTCACTGTTCTCTTGAGGGAAGCCCAGACAACCTAACTGAAAGTCTCCTGACTGCCTCGTTACTTCATTCCAAGAATCAATTGACTGGAAGATTCACACTCAACATTTTGGAAACTAAAAGAACCGTTGTATGTAACTGAAGGATATATATATATATATATATATATATATATCCTTCAGTTACATAATACATCCCAATTTTGGAAATGTGAAACTGCCAATTAATAGTTAAGAAAACAGAACATTTGTTGCCATCACATAACCTAAATTTTCCAACACTGCTGATTTCTTATATTGAAGTGGTAGAATTAGGGGTGACAATTTTTTTTCCTCAGAATTATTGCTATGTGTTGTTAAAATAAAACATGGAATACTCTATACTTAATATTGACCTGTTTCATAAAGTTGCCAATTGTTTAAAGCTCAGTTTTGTCTTATAGGTATTACCCCTACCATTACGCGCCTTTCCTATCTGATATCCGCAACATCAGCGCACTCAGCATCCATTTTGAACTAGGAAAACCTTTTAAGCCATTTGAACAGCTTCTTGCTGTACTTCCGGCAGCTAGCAAAAATTTACTTCCTACATGCTATCAGGTGGGTTTTAGAATTAAATGTTTTTGTCCTTTTTGATATTTAGGAGCTCCTACTTCAAACCTAGAAACATAGTACCCAAATTTCTTTAATAGCTAAATATATTTATTTTCAGTTTCAAATATAGTATTTCTTAAGTCCCTTGAAAAGTAATTCCTTGATTTAAAGTTAGCTTTGTTTTAAAATAGCGAACTCTAAACCATTCAGTGGATAACTTCTTCATTTTCAGCACCTTTAAGCACATCTTAAAGCACAGTTTCTCTCTGCACTGATGAAAGTAAACTAAATCAGGCAAAATCTAAAGCCATCTACTTTATCCAAACATTTATAGATTCATTCCTCTTTTCTTTTACTCTCTACATACTAGAATAGGGATGGTTCTAAAAAGTCATTTATCTGATCAGAAGTATACCTCAGTTTATATTTCAAGCATTTCATTTATCAAATTGTGGAATGAAAGGCTTTTCTCTGGTTAACATATTTCACATAGCAGGAGGAAGATGTTTCAGAGGTGATTGGGTCACCAAAATTATACTGAGCCAGCTAAGTTGATTTTGAGGGTAAATTTCATTCAGTTCTTCTAGAGTATCTGTCTGTTCTAATTTCATGATCTGGTCCCAGGAATTGGAGTAGACACACCCCCCAACACACACACACCCATACACACATACCCGTTGCTGCTTGAACAATGTCAGACTCCCTTCAGGTTAAGTTCTAAAACTTAACCTGTCCTTCATCCTGGCCTCTGGCCTCCCTTTCTTCTTGTTTCTTTGATGTTTTTTTTTTCTCCTACTTTCAGATACATTAAGGATTGATACCCAGCCACTTTGGACCAGTACAACTATACAAGTGTTTTATAGCCACATCTGTTTTGATTGTTCTGTGCCCATGCCATACTGGTTATTAAATATTTTGACTATTACCCTGAGAAATATGCTGCTTTATTTCTTGAAAAAAGTTTATGTTGGAGCTGGCCCAGTGGCATAGTGGTTAAGTCCTTTCACTCTTCAGCAGCCTGGGATTCGTGGGTTCAGATCCCAGGCTCAGGCCTACACACCACTCATCAAGCCATGCTGTGGTGGCGTCCCACATACAAAATAGAGGAAGACTGGCTTAGATGTTAGCTCAGGAACTATCTTCCTCAAGCAAAAAAGACAAAGTTATATCATAATCCTCCATATTCATTTCATACAAGACATCTTTATGGTCTATCTACCTCAGTTATAAAATCTCTAATGAAAACATGTCTTATTGGACTTTTTATCTTTGCTAGTAGTAGTAAAGAGATCCCTGGATTTTAGATTTGTTTTTTTTTAATTCTTAAATGACAGTCTTATGTTACTTAATAAAGTCAGTTGATTAGGAAACAAAAGTAATTGTTTAATTTAAGATTAAAAATGGAGGTGAATTGGAAGCCTGTGAAATGAACTGAAGTGTGAATGAGAAAACAGAATTTAGGTCGGTCTTGTAGAGTGAAATGACAAAATTAAAATTTAGAGTAAAGATGGTTTTGCTACATAACTAGGTCAATGGAATGGGAAAGTGATGAGTAGCAGTAAAATTAGAAGTCTCATAGTTGAAAATCAAAGTATAGCTGGTATGTTGCAACATATCTAAAACGTAAATATTTAGTTTACTTTGCTTAGAAATTTTAAACTGTAACATGAAGAAATATTACAAATATATTAACAAAAGGCTATATTTGTATTCTTGTATTTCTGTTACACTGTTTTATATTTTCACAGCATTTGATGACCAGTGAAGACTCGCCAATTATAGAATATTACCCACCTGATTTTAAAACTGACCTAAATGGGAAACAACAGGAATGGGAAGCTGTGGTACTAATACCGTTCATTGATGAGGTCAGTGCATGAAATAGTTATATATATACGCGTTTTTTTTCTTTTTGGTTTTTTTTGTTTATGTGTGTGAAGAAACTTGGCCCTGAGCTAACATCCATTGCCAGTCTTCTTCTTTTTGCTTGAGGAAGATTATCCCTGAGCTAACATCTGTGCCAATTTTCCTGTATTTTGTATGTGGGACACTGCCACAGCATGGTTTGATGAGCAGTGTGTAGTCTGCGCCGGGGATCTAGACCTGCAAACCCTGGGCTGCTAAAGCAGAGCACGTGAACTTAACCACTATGCCACCAGGCTGGCCCCTACACATATATTCTTAACCAGAGAGTATTTCACATAAGTTAATGAGCAATGGGTTTTAATCACCATTTATGTTTTGTTAATAAGATTTAACTACTCTCTTGATTACGTGCACCAAAACTTCTAAGTGCACTAATTATAAGAAAGCTGGAGTGGCTTTACTAATATTAAGCAAAATAGACTTCAGAACAAGGAGTATTACCAGAGATCAAAAGGGATTCAAGTTCGGGGCCAGCCCTGTGGCCGAGTGGTTAAGTTTACGCACTCCACTGTGGCAGCCCAGGGTTTCGCCGGTTCAGATCCTGGGCGCAGACATGGCACCACTCATCAAGCCATGCTGAGGCGGTGTCCCACCTAGCAGAGCCAGAGGACCTACAACTAGAATATACACCTATGTACTGGGGAGCTTTGGGGAGAAGAAGAAAAGAAAATCAAGTCAGTTCATCAAGAAGACATAAAAATCCTAAATGTCTATGCACCTAATAACAAAGCTTCAAATACATAAAGCAATAACTGTCAGAATTGAAAGGAGACATAGACAAATCCACACCTTATAATTGGAAATTTCAACTCTTTCTCTCTGAGGAAGTGATAGAACAATAAGAAAGAAAATCAGTGAGAATAAAAACTTGAATAACACTGTAAACCTATTCAACTTGATTAATATTTGTAGAACACTACACCCAACAACTGCAGAATACACATTCTCTTTAGGTGAATAAGGAACATTCATCAAGATTATTTGCTGATACCTAAAATGTGTCTCAGTAAATTTAAAAGGGTTAGAATCAGGGGCTGGCCCCATGGCCTAGTGGTTAAGTTCAGTGTGCTCTGCCGCAGCAGCCTGGGTTCGGTTCCTGGGCGCAGACCTACATCATTCTTCAACGGCTGTGTTGTGGCAGCAACCCACATACAAAATAGACAAACATTTGCAACAGATGTTGGCTCAGGGAGAATCTTCCTCAGCAAAAAAAAGGGGGTTAAAATCATACAGAGAATGTTCTCTGACCATGTGGAATTAAATTAAAAATCAGTAATAAATATCTGGGAAATCTGCAAATATTTGAAATTAAATAACATACTTCCAAATAACCCATGGATAAAAAAAGAAATTAAAAGGGAAATTCGAAAAAATTTTGATCTGAATGATAATGAACACTCAATATATCATAATCTGTATGCTGGAACTAAAGCAGGGCTTAAAAGGAAGCTTAAGGTTCTAGATGCTTATACTAAACAAGAAAAAGTTTTAAAATAAGTCCTCTAAGCTTCCTACCATTAGAAGTTAGAAAAACAAGAGCGAGTTAAACCCAAACTAAACAGTATAAAGGAAATAATAAAAATAGGAGCAGAAATCCATGGAAATGAACAAATTATAGAGAAAAAAATCAATGAAACCAAAAGTCGGGTCTTTGAAAAAATTAATAAAATTGATAAATCCTGGTTAGACTGATCAAGAAATGGGGGAGAAAAAGAGGGATGGAGAGAGAGAACACATAAATTGCCAATATTAGGAATGAAAGGGGAGACATCCTACAGACTCCTCAAATATTAAAAGGCTAGTTAAGGAATATTGTGAACAGTTTTGTGCCAACAAATTCAACAGCTTAAGTGAAATGAACACATTCTTTAAAGACACAATGTAGCAAAACTGACAAAAAATGTAAACATCTGAATTATCCTGTATCTTTTAGAGACATTTAATTCATATTTAAAACCTTTCCCACAGAGAACATTCCAGCCTCAGATAGCTTTATTTGTGAATTCTAGCAAACATTTGAGGAAGAGATAATACCAATTTTACACAAACTTTGAGAAGTAGAAGAGGGAGAATCACTTCCCAGCGTATTTTATTAGATAGCGCAATCCGGATACCCAAACTAGACAATGGCATTACAAGAAAAGAGAAATACTGACCAGTACCCCTCCTACAAGTAGATGGAACAACTTTTAACAAAGTAAAACCAGATGGGATCCAATACTGTGTTAGAAGGATAATGTTCATGACCAAACGGGATTTGTTTTAGAAATACAGGATTGGTTTGCAGTGTGATTTAGCACATTGTCAATATTCAACATCCATTTTTAATAGAAATGCTCAACAAATGGAATAAAAGGAAACTTCCTCAATCAGATAAAGTGCATCTAAAAAAACCTATTTCTAACTACATACTTAATAGTAAAAGGTTGAACATTTTCTCTCTAAAGTCAAGGATAGGACAAGGATGTCCATTCTGAACACTTCTCTCTAATATTGTACTGGAAGTCCAGCGTATTAAGTCAAGGAAAAGAAATAAAGGCACACAGAATAGAAAGGAAGAAGTAAAATGGTCTTTATTTGCATGTGGCATTATAATATATTTAGAAAATTCTAAGGAATCTTCAAAAAAAGAAACTATAACCAGGAAGTGAATTTAGCAAAGTCCCCAAATATAAAATCTATACAAAATTCAATTGTATTTTCATGTACTAGCAACAAACGATTGGAAAATGCAAAATTTTTTAAATAAAAGTTTTTTTAATGCTTACAGTACCATTAGAAAATATAAAATACACAGCTATAAATTTAAAATGTGCAAGCCCTTTACACTGAAAACTATGAATAGTGTTGAGAGATAGACACCTTAATAAATGGAGGGATATACCATGTTCAAGGAACAGAAGACAATACTAAGATATAGCTTCTTCCCAAATTGATCTTTAGATTCAACATAATCCCAGTGAAGATCTCAGCAGATTTTATTGTATAAATTGGAAATCTGACTCTAAAGTTTTAAGAAATTGCAAAGCATCTGGAATAGCCAAAGCAATCTGTAGGAAGAAGAACAGTGTTGGAGGACTTTCATTATCTGATTTCATGACTTAGCATGAAGCTATCGAGGCAGTGTGTTTGTTACATAGCAATAGACAAGTAGATCAGTGGAACGGAGTAGAGTCCAAACATAGATCTATACTTGTTCAGTTAATTCATTTTCATTCAAGGCAGCAAAGCTATTCAATAGGTAAAAGAAAAGCTTATCAACAATTGGTGCTGAAACAGCCGGCTATGTGTGTGGAAAAGATGAGTCTTGATCCATACCTCACACCAAACACAAAACTTAATTCAAAATACATCATAGCTCAGTGTAAAAGCTACAACTGTAAAATTTTTTGAAGTAAACTTAGGATAAAATCTTAGTCAAGACCCAGAAAGCACTAACCATTAAAGAATTGAGAAAATAAATTTCATCAAAATCAAAAACCTACTTTTCAAGAGACTATTAAAAAACAAATAGGGAGAGTGACATCAGCATCATGCAGAGTGAGATGATTCCCTTAGACTCTCCCCCAAGATACAACAAAAGAGACATTCATAGACCAGCAGAGAAAATGAAAATACACCATACCAACTCATATGGGATGCAACAAAAGTGATCCTAAGGGGGAAATTCATAGCAATACAGGCCCACCTTAACAGGCAAGAAAAATCTGAAATAAGTAACCTTAAACTACACCTAATAGAAATAGCAAAAGAACAAAGCCTCAAGTCAGCAGAAGGAAGGAAATAATAAAAATTAGAGCAGAAATAAATGAAATTGTAACAAAAAAACAGTGGAAAGGAATCAGTGAAACTAAGAGCTGGTTCTTTGAGAAGATAAAATTGACAAACCCTTAGCCAGACTCACTAAGAAAAAAAGAAGGCTCAAATAAATAAAATTAAAAATGAAAGAGGAGAAGTTAGAATGAATACCACAGAAATGCAAAAGATTATAAGAGAGTACTATGCAGATCAACCTCTGCTACCTTTAAACTTTTGTCCTGCAGCTTCCTCCCTTCTCTCAGCCTTCATTGAACTGAAGAGAGTTAGGGCGTTGCTCTGGAGTAGACTTGGCTTAAGGGAATGTTGTGGCTGGTTTGATCTTCTACCCAGACCACTGAAACTTTCTCCATATCAGCAATAAGGCTATTTCACTTTCTTATCATTTCTTTATTCACTGCAGTAACACTTTTAATTTCTTTCAAGAATTTTTCCTTTGCATTCATAACTCGGCTGTTTGGTGCAAGAGGCCTAACTTTTGGCCTGTCTTGGCTTTCGAATGCCGTCCTCACTAAGCCTAATCATTTCTAGCTTTTGATTTAAAATGAGAGACAGGCCACTCTTCTCTCGCTTGAACATTTAGAGGCCATTGTAGGGTTATTAATTGGCCTAATTTCAATATTGTTGCATCTCAAGGAATAGGAAGGCCAAAGGAGAGGGAGAGAGATGGGAGAACAGCCAGTCAATGGAGCAGTCAGAAGATACCCAACATTTATCAATTAAATTTGCCACCTTATATGAGCACAGTTTGTGGTGCCCCAAAACAATTACAATAGTAACATCAAAGATCACTGATCACAAATCACCATAACATATAATAATAATGAAAAAGTTTGAAATATTGTGAAAATTGTCAAAATGTGACACAGAGACACAAAGTGAGCAAATGCTGTTGGAAAACTGGTGCCCATAGACTTGCTCAATGCAGGGTTGTGACAAACCCTCGATTTGTAAAATTGTCTTTCTCTCTCTCTCTGACGCACACACACACACACACACATCCTTTTCAGCTTGAGCATGTGTCAGGCTTTCTTTCCCATCTGTCTCTTTCTACCAGAATGTTCCAACTGATTTGTGTATGTGTGCAGGGTGGGCAGATTGGAAGGAGTGAGAGGGGAGTGTGGTTTAAAGCCATTTTATTTACTCACAAGTCTGTGAATCAACAATTTGAACTGGGCTCAGCTACGTGGTTCTTTTGCTGGTCATAGCCTGAGGTCACTCAAGCATTTTAGTCATCTTGTGGCTCAAGTAGAGCTGGTTGTCTGAGATTGCCTCACTCATATGATTGGGCCTTGGTGTTACTTGTGAGCTGAGGCCTCTATGTCATCCCTAACCCTCAAGGAGGCTAACCCAGGTTTATTCTCACAGTGATCTTTGGTTCCATGAAGGTGAGAACAAAAGCTCCAAGGCTTCTTGAGCTTTGGAATTTGTATAACATCACTTTCACTACATTCCTTTGAATAAAGTTACAAGACCAACTCAGGCTTAAAAAGTGGGGAAATAGACTTCACCACCTCACATTTATAGGAGCTTACATATGGGGATAGAAGGAATTATTGTGGCCATCTTTGCAATCATCTACTACAATCTGCCCTTTGGCTAAAATAATTCACATCTCCTCCAAACTCCAGACACACTGACCTCCCCTCAAAATCTCATCTCCTTAAAGCATCAGGCTCAAAGTCCAAAATGTCATCTTTAAATCAGATCCAGATATAGATGAAGCTCCTCAAATGTAGCTCCTCATGAAAAGCTCTCTTGATTCAGAGACCTGTGAATTTAAAAACCAAGTTATTTACCCTCCCCCCACCCATGTTCCCAGTTTTATGATGGAGAGACAAGGACAAGATAACCACAATAAGTTACTCCTATCAAAAAGGGCAGGAAAAGGAGGCACTAAACATCACTGATCAATAACAATTCTGAAATCCAGCCAAGTAACATACACTCAAGTCCCTATACAGTCTGTGTCCCTCCCCCCGACCCAGGCTTTTGGCTTCCTGCTCTGGGTTCTTTTTTTTTTTTTTGCAGAGGGAGATTCTCCCTGAGCTAACATCTGTTGCCGGTCTTCCTCTATTTTGTATGTGGGCCACTGCCACAGCATGGCCACTGATGAGTGCTGTAGGTCCGTGCCTGGGAACCAAACCCAGGCTGCCAAAGCAGAGTGCACCAAACTTAACCACCAGGCCACCAGGGCTGGCCCACTCTGGGTTCTTGATGCTACCCTTTAAGAGGTTGGGAAGAGAAAAAACAGGCTTGGTCGGAAGGGCAGGTTGGGGTACCGTGCTGTCTCAACAAAGGCCTTGGCTGACCCCATAAGTAACTCTGAAGCTGAAATGGCCCATTATAGTTCTCCTAAGTTGCTGTAAAGGGTCTGAGACTTTACACTCTTTATCTGTCAGTCTTGGATGCAGGCTTCGTTTTGGAAGGTTACATAAACTTGTATGAGATGACTTTTCACCTGAGGATTTTTCCCAGAGAGGGCTGACAGCTGAGGGTTGTAAGCCAGCAGCACTTTCAGCATCTGGGCAAACAAGTCCTTCAGTACTAATGGGGGATCACAGCAGCACGTCACAATATCCGTGACATCCTCTATACCTTAATATTATGCTGTTTATCCTGAAGATGCTAAAATGTTTACAATTATAAGGATGAGATGCTATGCGTACATTCACAGGGCCAAGTGACCTAGAAAAATCTTTATATTTTGAATATGAAGAAGGATTAGACTCAAACTTTGAATGTGATATTGGAGAAAAAAATAGGATAAAAGTTAATACCATTGTTAGTAAAAAAAATTATAGAAATTCAATTTACTGTTTATTATTTTTTGAAATGTTATTTATTTTATTGTGTACCTTATAATATCAGTGATATCTTAGAATCAAGAACTTATGGTGCAGTATTACCTGTTTTGCTTTATAATCTTTTCCAGATTTTGCTACTTCCTGCTGCTTTCTACTACTTTTCTGTAAATGCTTTGAAAGTAGCATAGATGATTATTGGACCAAAAGTCTAGGAAGCCACTCTGGAAAACAATTCAACAATTTCTTGTAAAGTTAAACATGCGTTTACTATCCAACCCAGCAATCACACTCCTGGGTATTTATCCTAGAGAAATGAAAACTCAGGTCCACACAAAGACCTGTACACATGTGCAGAGCATCTTATTTGTAATAATCCCAAACTGCAAAAAAATTCAAATGTCCTTCAATGAGTGAGTGGATAAACAAACTGTAGCACATCCATATAATGGAATAATACCTAGAATAAAAAGAACTGTTGATATAAACAGCTTGGGTGAAAAAAGTTCATTTGAGTGAAAAACGCCTGTCTCAGAAGGTTATGTATTATATGGTTCCATTTATGTAATATTCTTGAAATGACAAAATTATTGTGATGTAAAACACGTCAGTGGTTGCTAGAGGTTAGAGTGTGATTATAAAGGAATAACATGATGATGATATAACAGTTCTGTATTCCAGTTTTAGTGGTGGTTACATGAATTTGCATATGATAAAAATTCCATAGCACTGTACACACACCAAAAAAATAACACATAAAAACCAGTGAAATCTGACTGGGTCTGTAGTTTAGATAATAGTGTTGTGCCAATGTCAGTTTCCTAGTTTTGATAATGTACTGTGGCTATGTGTAAGATGTTATCATTGGAGAAAGCTGAGTGAAAGGTACATGGAAACACTCTGTACTAATTTTGCAGCTTCTTTGCATCTTCATGTTTTTTGCCGTTGTCTACAATGCTGTGATAAAAATACTTGTGTATTTATGCTTCTTTTGTTTTTATGCTTGCTTATGTATTGGAGACTTTATTTTTCTAAAGTAGATTCCCAAAAGCAGGATTGCTTGGTTATAGGAATGTATATTTTTAGTTTTAATGGATATTACCAGATTCTTTTTCAAGAAGATGGGTGTAATTCATACTGGCAATATTTCAGTGCTCGCTTCTCTCCATCTTCAGTGCTGGGTATTATTGCTTCATTTAATTTTGGCCAATCTATTGATGATGAAGAATGCCATTTTATTATTATTCAAGTTTGTTTTTCCCTGACCCTTATTTTTTTTTTTTTTAAAGATTCTCGCCTGAGCTAACAACTGTTGCCAATCTTCTTTTTTTTTTTTCCTGCTTTTTCTCCTCAAATCCCCCAAGTACATAGTTGTATATTTTAATTGTGGGTCCTTCTAATTGTGGTATGTGGGACACCACCTCAATGTGGCCTAATGAGCAGTGCCATGTCCTCACCCAGGGTCCGGACCATCGAAACCCTGGGCCGCCGAAGCGGAGCACGCGAACCTAACCACTCAGACACATGGCCGGCCACCCCGACCTTTAATTTGAGTATATTTTTGTGTATATGTTTTCACTTTGCATTTTCTCTTTTGTAAATTGCCTGTTTATATCCTTTCCCTCATTTTCTTTTTGGTTTTTAGCAGCTTTTTTATATTGGGAATATTCTTTCCCGGTATAGCTTTTGTCTCTTGATTTGTTTATGACGTCTTCTGTCACATACATTTTCTTTTACTTACAAATGTCTTTTTCCCTTAAGGCTGTTAGATTTTTGCCTATCTTACTTAGAGTTTATCACTCCAAATTATGGATACTCTCCTAGATTTTCTTCTAATACTTTTATTGTCTTATTACTCTGATGCTTGTTTTTGTACATAGTATGAAGTTGAGAAATGTATCTGCTTTTTTATCCAGGTGGATAGCTAGATATGACAACACCATTATTTAAATATCTGAAGTACTATGTTTTTGACAGGTTTGGATTTGTTTTTGAACCTTTTATTCTGTTCTTCTGCTCTGTAGGTCTCTTGTGGTATCAATACTAAAATATTTTTATTACAGTTGCTTTATAAAAAGTGGTAGGATGTGATAAGACAAGTCTCCAATTACTTTTTACAATTCACACATTCATTCTTGCATCTAAATGCTAACATCATTTTGTCCTTTTGAAAAAAATATTTTAAACCATTGCAATTCTGATTGAAATTATGTTAAATATAGAAGTTAATTTGGAAAGATGAACATTTCTATACCACTGCAGAATTTGTAAGTTAACAGATTAGTGATCTATGAATTATGATAAATTGTAAAAATTTTGATAAATTCACATTTAAAATTTCATTCTCTACTGTTCTTATTGACACTTCAGTGGCTACTATTGGAGTAATAGGTTCAGAGGAATTTGCAGCAGCAAGCAATATTCTAGGGGCATTTGAAACAATGAACAGCACATTGGTTTTTCATGGAATAAAATGGAACAGAGTTCCATTAGTTAAGATTTTTGTTTTTCAGAAACACAAATAGTGATTCTGTATACTGAGGGAAAAAGATTTATTCTATATGTTGAAATTACAGAATTTTGATGCTTATAACCCTTCTCTTCATTCTTTACATTCAGAAGCGATTGTTGGAAGCCATGGAGACGTGTAACCACTCCCTCAAAAAAGAAGAGAGGAAGAGAAACCGACATAGTGAGTGCCTAATGTGCTGGTATGATAGAGACACAGAGTTCACCTACCCCTCTCCATGGCCAGAAAAGTTCCCTGCCATAGAACGATGTTGCACAAGGTAATGTTATTTGGTAGTTTTTCAACAACCACAAAGAACTCCCCGTGACCTTAAAAAAAAAAACGCACTTTTGAGAGCCAGCCCTGATGGCCTAGTGGTTAAAGTTGAGCGCTCTCCCCGTTTTGGCAGCCCAGGTTTGTTTCCCGATCTTGGAGCCACACAAATGGTCTGTCACTTGCCATGTTGTGGCCGTGGCTCGCATAGAAGAACTAGAAGGGCTTCCAACAAGGATATACAACCATGCAGTGGGGCTTTGGGAAGGAAAAAAAAGAGGAAGATTGGCAACAGATGTTAGTTCAGGGCAAATCTTTGGAGGAAAAAAAGCCTTCGAATATGTATTTGGAGAATCAACAAATAATTTATGATAGTTACAGTCAATTGATAATGAGTTACATCTGACTTGCCAAGGATCATGGCATCTCTCTCTCACAGTTGTTTCTGTAGCTCTCTGCTTGGTCAGATTTTGCTTCTCTCTTCTCTTAAATTTGTTTATTTATTTTTCTTCCCTAGCGTATATCTGTACTTTCCCTCAAGAAGATGTGTGAATTTTTGTTTCCCTTGCTAGGGTCTGCTTCCAGGATTATTTGACATGCCAACTTCACCTCTTATACTCCCCAACCACTCAACTAGAAAGGAGAAAAAACAAATAAAAGAGCTCCGCTATTTTCTTGCCTCCAACCAATTTCTTCTTTCTCTTCCTCATTAAAATATCTCCCTTATTTTTTCTCTTATCTCATCTTCCATGCAAATGATTTACCTAAGTGGCAGTTGGCAATTGAGTTGCAGATAAAGTGAACGTCTATCTCTCAGTTGTGATTTTTCCTTTTGTTAAAGCAAAGAGAAAGATGAAATAGACATTATAAAATGTTTGTTTTCTGTGCTGGGTTTTAGAACATGCAGATATGGAGATTTATAATATGCTTTATATTTTCCTTCATTTTAAAAATTAATTCTATGTATATTTTTGTTTTAAATTAATGCAGTAAACTTCCACTCAGTAATCAACAGCCATGGTCGTGTCTGAACCTAACAGCAAAGAATCTGGGTTGTCCTGCTCTATATTTTCTTTGTTTTAAAGGACAAATTGTCATTCTCTTATTTAAAAGCAAGAGTAACTCTTGCAAAATATTCAAGGGAATGCTGAAAAATTGTGATTGCTTGTAATGTATGAATTTTAACTTAAATGCCTTGATTTATTTTCTAGGTATAAAATGATATCATTAGATGCTTGGCGTGTAGACATAAACAAGAACAAAATAACGAGGATTGACCAGAAGGCATTATATTTCTGTGGATTTCCTACTCTGAGACACATCAAACACAAAGTTAGTGGCTATTTAGTTCAGAATTTTTTTACTTTCTTGAGTGAAGTTATTGTAGAGAAATAATTAAAATTAAATTCTCTGGAATTTTTTAAAGTTTTTTTTGAAGAAAAGTGGGGTTCAAGTATTCCAGCAAAGCAGTCGTGGAGAAAATATGATGTTAGAAATCTTAGTGAATGCAGAATCAGATGACCTTGTAAGTATTTTGTTTATTATATATTTATTAAATGCTTATTATGCAAAAAACTATTGTAGCTGCAATGTGTTTGCCCAAGCAGTATAATATGTAGTAACTCCAAACGCTAACAGTAGATAAGGATAAAGTAAAGAAACATTTACACAAATTAAAGGACATGTGTAATTGTGACATAATGAGTAAAAGGTGCTCCAGGAATTTTGAAAAGGGGATGAGCTATGTGAGCTAAAGATTAAGCAAGTACGAGACCTGTAGATGAGAATATAGGCTTGAGTTGGGTGCTAAAAAAAGATTATCACAAAGAGAAAAGGCAAGGTAAGGTATTCCAGTTGAAAGGAATAACATGAGCTGTGAATCGTAGTAAAAAATAAATGAGACATTATCTTATTGTTTTTAACCTTTTTGTATGTCTGAAAGTTCTCCTTAGTACTTTTTCTTTTTTTAGAATAAATTTGATATATTTGAGGAGAAGGAATAGATAAAACTGACTGAAGCAGACTTGTGTTGGGAAATAGTGGAAGATAAGGTTGAAAAAACAGATTGAGGCCAGATTCTGGAGGACCTTAAATATCAGGCTAAAGAGTTAGGACTTTTTTTTTCATGACTGTTATATTGAAATCAGTATTTTCATAAAGATTAATTTGGTAGCAATATAATGGCTAAATTGCACAAAAGAGAAATGTAAGAAAGTGGAAAAGCCTGCAACAGAGGTTGTGTTTGTAGAAACATTAGATAATAAGGACATAAACTGGAAGTGGTAATAGATCTAGATGAACAAGACTAAATAAAATTGATAAATTTCATCATTTGTTCAAATATAGGAGATGAAAAGAGGAATAAAATATTAAATATGACTCTGAGCCATCCAGGCTTATTAACTAGAAAATAATTGCTGTTTATTAGAGTAAAGAAGTTAAAATGAAAGAGTCACTGATTTGAGAGGATTAATGATAAATAATGGGGGAGTTTTAAGGTGGTGCTGGGACATTTAACTGGAGCTGCCCTGCCAACCTTTCTCAACAAGGATTCCACAAGAGATTTAAGCCCTGATATACTAACTTATCTTCTATGCATTTATAATGCTACTAGTTATGTACCATCCTCGGGAGACTTGAGGAAATAGAGTATTTTTCGTGTTCTGTGGTCGGATGAAAAACCTCAGTCAAGAAAGGCTGCTTATGCACAATTTAGCACTTGGAGCCACAGCTTGGAGGGAGGTAGGGATATACAAGTCGTCAGCAAGGAGGTGATAGCAGAGGCCTTAGGGCTCATACCCCAAGAAGAAAAGGGGCTCTGAGGGTTCAAGGTCTCAGCATGAAGAAATAACCACAGTTATAAAGGGTGGAAAAAGGAGCCAGTAAAAGTGACATATAGTGTTCAGAGAGGTAAAAGAGAATGATTCCCAAGTTAAGTAGTATCACAGAAGCATGGAGTAGGTGCTGTATGCTGCATACAGTTCAAGAATAAAAACTGAAACAAGCTCTGTGAGTTTGTCCTTTAGACAGCATTACTGACCTTTGAGAATTCCGCTCCAACAGACTGGTGGAGACAGAAGTCCAATTCCTGAGGTCTAGTCTGGGATAGGAAGATGGAAAGTAGAGGTAGCAGGTATTAAGCCCTTGGTTAAGTTCATCATTGGAAAGAAGGCTAGAAACATAACTGTAGATAGAGAAGAGGCAGCTCATCCAGCAAAATACATTCGAAAGAGGAGAGGACGAGCTAATGGAGAAAGGGCTTAAAGGCATTGTGGAGGGGAGGGATGTTCATGATAACGAGACCCCATGTGAGGTGATAAGGGATTTCAACTGGGGTTTACACGGAAGGATTAATCTGGGAAATGGGGACAACTTTTCCTTTAAAAACTAAAGGAAAGAGTGGGAGAATGAAATTAGAAATAGATGTATAGGGGCTGGCCCTGTGGTGCAGTGGGTAAGTGTGTACATTCCGCTTCAGTGGCCCGGGTGCGGACATGGCACCGCTTGGCACGCCATGCTGTGGTAGGCATCCCACATATAAAGTAGAGGAAGATGGGTACGGATGTTACCTCAGGGCAAGTCTTCCTCAGCAAAAAGAGGAGGATTGGCCGCAGATGTTAGCTCAGGACTAATCTTCCTCAAAAGAAAAAAAAAGAAAAGAAATAGATGTATAGAAGGGAAAAGGATAATTAAGGGAGCCTGGTTCTAATGTTGAAACTTGTTTTACTTATCAGAATAGTCATTCTTTTGTATGTTTATGATAAGAAATGTCTAAATATAATAGATAAAATAAAGACTTGTCCTAAAAAAGTCCAAAATAGTCATCTCTAATTGTAAGAAGAGGATTTGATGATAATGATTAAGCATAATAAACAGAAAAAAAAAGTGAATGAAAATTTGTATTTAAACTTCAGTTTCTACCACAAAATTGTTGTTACACCAATAGTAACCAATACAACCAATACAACCAATACAACCAATAGTAATACTGATGTTTCCTTTTAAAACTAGAATTTTTTTATTGAGTTCATAATAGTTTACAACATTCTGAAATTTCAATTGTACGTTATTACTTGTCTGTCACCATGTAAGTGCTCCCCTTTAGCCCCTGTGCCCACCCCCCAGTCCCCTTCCCTCAGTAACCACTGAACTGTTTTCTTTGTGTATTTATCTTCCATATATGAATGAAGTCATATGGTGTTTGTCTTTCTCTGTCTGGCTTATTTTGCTTGACATAATATCCTCTGGGTCCATCCATGTTGTTGCAAATGGGAATTTTGTCTTTTTTTATGGCTGAGTAGTATTCCATTGTGTGGGTGTGTATGTGTGGGTGTGTATGTACACACCAGATCTTCTTTATCCAGTCATTGGTCACTGGGCACTTGGGTTGCTTCCGCATCTTGGCTATAGTGAATACTGCTGCAGTGAACATAGGAGTGTGTAAGTCACTTTGAATTGTTGATTTCAAGTTCTTTGGATAGATACACAGTAAGATACACAGTAATGGAATAGCTGGGTCATGTGGTATTCCTATTTTTACTTTTTTTTTTTTGAAGAGTGGCACTTGAGCTAACAGCTGTTGCCAATCTTCTTCTTTTTTCTTTTTTTTCCTTCCCAAAGGCCCCTACTAAATACTTGTATATTCTAGTTGTGAGTGCCTCTGGTTGTGCTGTGTGGGACGCTGCCTCATCGTGGCCTGATGACCAGTGCCATGTCCACGCCCAGGATCCAAACTGTTGAAACCCTGGACCACCGAAGTGGAGTGCGTGAACTTAACTACTCAGCTACAGGGCCGGCCCCTGTTTTTACTTTTTTGAGAAATCTCCATACTGTTTCCCATAGTGGCTGCACCAGTTTGCATTCCCGCTAGTAATGTGTGAGGGTTCCCTTTTTTCCACATCCTCTCCAACATTTGTTATTTTTTGTCTTGGTGATTATATCCATTTTAATGGGTGTAAGGTGATATCTTAGTGTAGTTCTGTTTGCATTTCCCTGATGATTAGTGATGTTGAACATCTTTTCATGTGTTCATTGACTTATCTGTGTATCTTCTTTGGGAAAATGTCTGTTCATATCTTCTGCCCATTTTTTGATCAGGTTGTTTGTTTCCTTGTTGTTCAGTTGTGTGAGTTCTTTATATATTATGGAGATTAACCCCTTGTAGGATATATGATTTGCAAATATTTTCTCCTGATTGGTGGGTTGTCCTTTTGTTTTGATCCTGACTTCCTTTGCCTTGCAGAAGGTCTTTAGTCTGATAAAGTCCCACTTATTTTTTTTTTCTTTTCTTTCCCTTGTCCGAGAAGACATGATATTTGAAAAGATCTGTTTAAGATCGATGTCAAAGTGTGTACTACCTATATTTTCTACCAGAAGTTTTATGGTTTCAGATGTTACCTTTGAGTCATTGATCCATTTTGAGTTTATTTTTGTGTATGGTGTAAGATAATGGTCTACTGTCATTCTTTTGCATGTGTTTGTCCAGTTTTCCAAACAGCGTTTATTGAAGAGACTATCTTTTCTCCATAGTATATTCTTAGCACCTTTATAGAAGATTAGCTATCTATAGATGTGTGGTTTTATTTCTGGGCTTTCAGTTGTGTTCCATTGATTTATGTGTCTGATTTTGTACCAGTACCATGCTGTTTTGATTACTGTAGCTTTGTACTACATTTTAAGTCAGGGATTGTGATGCCTCCAGCTTTGTTCTTTTTTCTCAGGATTGCTTTAGCTACTTGGGATCTTTTGTTGCCCCATATGAATTTTAGCATTCTTTTTTCTATTTCCATGAAGAATGTCATTGAGATTCTGATTGGGATTGCATTGAATCTGTAGATTGCTTTGGGTACTATGGACATTTTAACTATGTTGAGTCTTCCAATCCATGTGCATGGAATATCTTTCCATTTCTTATTGTCATCATCAATTTCTTTTAATAAGGTCTTTCACCTCCTTGGCTAAATTTATTCCTAAATATTTTGTCTTTTTGTTGGGATTGTGAATAGGATTGTGTTCTTGAGTTCTCTTTCTGTTAGTTCATTATGAGAGTATAGAAATGCAACTGGTTTTTCTAAGTTGATTTTGTACCCTGCAACCTTACTGTAGTTGTTGATTATTTCTAATAGTTTTCCAGTGGGTTCTTTAGGGTTTTCTATATATAAAATCATGTTGTCTGCAAACAGCAAGAGTTTCACTTCTTCATTTCCTATTTGGATTCCTTTTACTCCTCTTTCTTGCTTAATTTCTCTGGCCAAAACCTCCAGTAGTATGTTGAATAAGAGTGGTGAGAGTGGGCACCCTTGTCTTGTTCCTGTTTTCAGAGGATTGGCTTTCAGTTTTGTTTTGGGGGGTTTTTTTTTAAGATTTTATTTTTTTCCTTTTTCTCGCCAAAGCCTCCCAGTACGTAGTTGTATATTCTTCGTTGTGGGTCCTTCTAGTTGTGGCATGTGGGACGCTGCCTCAGCATGGTTTGATGAGCAGTGCCTTGTCTGCGCCCAGGATTCGAACCAACGAAACACTGAGCCG